GTGGTCAGTGGGCCAGCCTTCAGTCAGTGGAGTCTACCCCCATCCCTTCCATGCCTAGCTGAGAGGGGGGGTCTAGCAGGCAGGGCCTTTGGTTTCTCTGTAGCAGAGGCAAAACCTGGGGCAAGAACTTCACTTGTGATTTAGTTCATGACTTCTGTGCCACTTGCAGGGGGTCCAGCACGGGTCCTGGAAAGGACAGCGTCTCGGAGCATCTCATCCCGATTCCTGCTGCAAGTGCAGACCTCCCCACTCAGGTACACCCCACGGGACTCTGCTGACACGCTGCTCCTGTGCCTGGAACCATGGAGCCTTCTTCCCTCCTCTCCTGAAGAGCACTTTGTACTCCTAGCTTTGGAACAAGCGGCCTCACCCAAACTCTGTCTTGTTTGTGCTCGTCCTCTTCTGGTGCCTCTCTGTCTGTGAGAGCATCTGGACATCTTAGAGGGAGGAAAACACTGAGCCTTCTCTAGACATTTTTCTGAACCTTTTCTCCCTGTAGGGAACCATCTTCGTCCTCCTCAAGCTTGGCCCTGATGTCAAGACCTGACCAGGTGTCACAGATATCTAGTGACCAGCTGAAAGGCAGTGGTGCCACTCCTCCAGGAGCACCCCCAGAAGTGGAACCCTCTTCTGGCAACTCCGGCCCCCAGCAGGTGGCTCCTGTGCTGTTGCCACGACGGCGTAGTAGCAACCGCAACAACAGCTGGGCCCCCAAGAAAATGGCTACCACCCGCCCCTTAGCTCGACTCCAGAAAGCCCAGTCTGTACACAGCCTAGTACCACAGGGTGAGGAACCTGGTGTGCTTAGCTCCAGGGTATGGGAAATGTGGGCGTGTATGTGGACGTGCTGGGGGAAGGTAGGCCTAGTGTGGCCCTGGTGTGTCCCCATGCTTGCCACTGCACGTCCCTTAGTGTCCTGTTTGGGGGAAAGTAGCAACTAGGGATCGAGCCCTAGCGTCTGGCATACCTTCCTCAGGCTGGCATACCAACCTGACCTGCAACTAACTGTCCCTGTCTCCGATGCAGATGAGGTGCCTTCACTGCGTCCACTGCTCTTCCGGGAGGTGGAGACCCAGGGCAGCTTAGGATCCCTGCCACAAGCTGATAGCTGCCCATCTCAGACCCACTCCTACCAGAGCCCCACCACCAGCTCTACGGCCATGCTGGCTCGTAGCATTTCTGTTGGCGAGAACCCGGGCCTGGCAAGTGAAGCTCAGGCCCCTGCACCAGTCCGAATCTCACCACTCAACAAACTAGCTCTGCCTAACCGGGCTCACCTTGTCCTGGACATTCCCAAACCACTGCCTGACCGTCCTGCTTTGGCCACACTCTCACCTGTAACCAAGGGCCGAATCCATAATGAAACAGAACAGTCTGGCTCCCTGGTGAGCCTAGGAAAGGCTCACACTACATTTGAAAGGCAGGCCTGTTCAGAGGAGGGTGCCACTCCTAAACCTAGGACAGAGGGCCAGGGTGACCCTGGCCCCAACCACCCCTGTGCCCAGCAACTGCCGGTCAGCAACATCCTCCAAGACCCCGAGAGCTTTCAGCCCCCATCCCCTGAGAAGACTGCTAATCCCATGGAATGCACCAGGCCAGGGGCAGCCCTGAGCCAGGACTCAGGTGCGCACAGCTGCCCAGCCTCGTCTCTCATGCCATCCTCTTTCCTGTCTCTGTTGGCCACTTTCTGGCTCCATCTCATGTCTGTGTGTCCAGCCTTTGGCATTTTTCGTCCTGTCTGCTCCTGTCTTGGTCCATAAGTCACCCCGATGGTGAGACACTCCTGCCACCTTTCATGATCTTCCTATGACCCACTCAACCCTGTAGTGTATTCTGAATACTGGGCCTGGCTCTGGGGCTAGAGCTAGGGCTGGCTTTTTCCTCTAAGCTTTTCTTGTCTGTGGTGTCAGGAAAGGTGCTGGAAGGGAATGAGACAAGGGGCGGGAACTGTGGGCCGATGGGGCTTGCTGCACTGCTCTGAGGGCCCTGGGTTGGGATGCCTGAAAGAGCAGCTGGGCCTCACTGGTGTTTGTCCTTCAGAACTGGCCTTGAGTCTGCAACAGTGTGAACAGCTTGTGGCAGAGCTCCAGGGGAATGTACGCCAGGCAGTGCAACTCTACCACTTGGTGAGTGTTGGGTAGCAACTGGTAGGAAGACAGCCTGTTCTCAGTGCTACATGCTTGAGTGTCTAGCACAGTAACAGTAAGGGTTCTCCTCCATTCTGGGTGGAGCACTCAAAAATATTCTGAGAATAGTAGAGGAGAAGGTCAGAAGCCAGGCCAAGCCTCAACCACAGGGTCTATTGGTCATTTCTGGCTAAGGATTGGAGCACTCAAGACAGGGTTGTAGCTTAGAATGTCATCTTGTTCAAGAAAATCTCAATCCATGCCTGTTGTCTCAGTGTAATTATTAATAGTATGCTTTTTCATATTCCCAAATGGTTTGGGCTCTTTATATGCAGGAAACAATTTAACAGTGCCCACGCTTGAAAGAGAAAAGTGCAGCCTGTTTGAGTTGTTGGGGAAAGTGATGATGAAGTAGATGGTTTTATTAATCTAGAGAGACCTTCATCTGGGTCACCCATCAGAGTGACTCTGATCGTACTGGTGGTGCGTGTCCCTTCTGGACAGGCTAGGCCCAGGTGGAGCCCCCTTTTCTATATCATTCTCTACTGAACCTCACCTCACTTGCAGTATTCTTGTTGCAGGTAACCAGCTGTAAGACACCTTCAGCAGAGCACAGCCACATCACCAGTCTCCTGAGAGACACCTTCTCTTCAGTGCGGCAGGAACTAGAGGCCCTGACTGGGGCTGTGCTGTCCAGCCCGGGCGGCAGCCCTGGGGCTGTGGGGGCTGAGCAAACTCAAGCCCTGTTGGAGCAGTACTCAGAGCTATTGCTTCGAGCCGTGGAGCGGCGTATGGAGCGCAGACTCTGAGTTCCAGAAGCCTGTCCAAGAGAAATGCTCCCCATTGAAACTGTAGCCCTTCTTCCGCTCACCAGAACCTGTGAGAACGTCTGGAGTGGATAGCAGGGGTCAGTGCTCAGAGGCAAAGCAGCTTTCCCAGCTGCTGCTCAGGGGCCCCTGTATTTATTAATTTATTTCCATGACTGTTGCCTCACTTCCTTGGGACTCCTGCCTCGAAAGCCCCTGCAGGCTCCTAGCAGGTCTTGAGTCTATGTCATCTTGGTGCTGTGAGGGGTAGGAGGGCAGCCTGCCTCATCTGGGGACACTGGGAAGGGCTGGCCTTCTTTTCTTAGAAGCCATTTGAATTTACTTCAGGGATCAGCTCCCTGGGGTGGAGCATACACAGGGTACTCCCTGGGGTGGAGCATACACAGGGCTCTCTGGGGGAGAGGGGAGAGGAGATGTGGCACTTAGTGCCCTGAAGCCAGCTGTGACCCTCACCTCTGCTCTCACACCAGCTGCGCTCTCCTGGCTGCCAGAGCAGGGGTGGTTTTCCTCCATTCCTGGCAGTTGAGAAAGGTAGAGCTGCCTGGCCCTCCAGGGGATCCCCAGCCCTTAGAAGACCTGAGTTGGTATCAGGACCTGAGCCCCACATTCCACTCCCATTCTCCCTGCAAGAGAGCCCCTGCATTTCCTACCCCATCCCTTTTTGTTTCCTTGTGGAGCCAGTTGTGGGATTTTGCTGCAGGACAGTAAAGCCCTCTGCTGAGCAAGCACAAAGCCTGCCTAGTTTCCTCAGCCCTTTGGGCTTCCTCATTCTCTAACCCTGGTCCCTAGAGGACTACTGAAGCCCCAGGGACCACTTTCTCCCTACATCCTGGGCAACGCGCAATCAGAAACCTGTATTGGGAGTTCCCTCATGGTTTACAGGGCACTAGCCCACCTTCCTAGGACTTTGGCTACACACACACACACACACACACACACACACACACACACACACACACACACACGAATACACAGTTGAGTGTTCGTTGTTCCAATACTTGCCTGGCTGGTAGGTACCTGGTTTCATCACATTTGGCCTCAGCTTCACTAGCCTGGCTTAGTTAGAACTCTTATCCAGAAACATGAAAAGGAGTACACTACAATCCCGGATCCTGGTGTCAGGAGTCAGGCTGACAGGAGATGGCTATGAGCACCTGGCTCACAAAGGAGGCTCTTTTTCAAAGGCAGTGCTGAGTGCTTAGAGATCCTGGATACTGGAGATTGTGGAGTGGAGGCTCTGGACAAGAGACATGCTGGGAAGGTGACAGGGGGACTGGTAGGTGGCAGAGGTAGGGGGACAGAATTAAGGTAACTTGTAGAGGGTAAAGAGAGGCTATAGGCAGGCTGTAAGTAGTGAGGTGGTTGCAGAATTGGAGTGTGTGTGTCTCTGGGCCCTCCTCCCTCTGCATTAGGTAAGGCAGAATGACATTTCACAGGGTTTAGATGACAAAACCCTGCTGATGCACCTTCCAAGCTCTGGAGGCAGAGGCTAGAAACAGTATTAATGGGTGCTTAGCTTTGGCGGTTCATCCTGAGTGCCCTAAGTACACTCAAACCGTGTATTCCCATTTTTACTACCGGCCTGACCAAACTCCTGGTCCAGAGAACAGTAGCGGCTGGGGGCGGATCCTTGGGCAGGCAGAGGGCTGCCCTGACCAATACCAGGTTCTTAGAGGGCCTTAGCCAGCCTGCTCTTCTCGAGGGAGCCGGTCTTTCCCTGCGCTCTCCCCTGCATGGATGGGGTCTTGTGGCCAGTGGTGCTTAGTTCCCCTTGCATGTCTGAGGTCACTGGCCACTGCTGCCCACGTCCAGATTTGTCCCATCCCAGTTTTAAAAAGCCCCTTATTTATAACTTTTATACTGTGGCGCCTGTCTCCTCCCCGGCTGTACGGGGTGAGGCTGTTTTAACGTCTCGTTTGTACCGACGTATGAAACTGTCAATAAACACAATCATTTGTTAACTGACTCCGAAGAAGGCGCCCTGAGGGGCGGGGCGAGGGCGGAAATGGGCGGGGCTGGGAGTCGAGGGCGGAAATAGGGGCGTGTTCTCTTCCCGCGGGCGTCATGGCGGAGGCGGCCCTGGATACTGTGCGTAATGTGTTACAGGAGTTCCCGGCGGCGGCTCGCGGTGAGTGGAGCTCGCGTGGAGAGAGCCTGGGGTCGTGTGTTCATGAGTGGCCTACTGGTGGCCTCACATTTTCGTATGTCACCCTTCTCTTGTTGGCGGGCGTGTGCACAGCTGATGGTCGCACGTCCTGGTGCCTTAGTGGGGTGCAGTTGTGGTTTTGGTCCAGGCCCTGCGCTGCTCCGGCGGTATTCGTACTGCCATTCTCAAAGCCAGCGGGTGCTGAGTCCCTGTGCTCTGCATTGCTGCGTTTTCGGTACAGAAGACTCTTGAACCTCAAGTATCTCGGATCCTGGCGGGTTCTGTGGAGAGAAGCAGTCGACTGTTCACTCAAAGCGGCCTCCAAGCTTTGAGGGTCGTGGAGACCACCCAAGCAATATGGGCTGCTCCACTACGAGGTGTTGGGTGCTTTGCTCCTCACTACCTCATTCTTTCCCCCTTCTTACTACGTCACGTGTTACTGAACAGCAGGGCAGACGCCTCTTTATGCATTGTAAATAAAGTGAGCTTCACTCCGTTTTATTGTTCCTGCTAAACACTTCGCCGCACTGTGTCTTTAGAGGGCATTCCCGGGGCCTTGGCCTCACATTTTCACTCCTGTGAACCTGGCACCCATTATTGATAACCTCTTGTTTTAAATAATTCTGCAAATACTTGACTGTTCATTTAACAAAATTAAGGATCTCTATGTGCCAGAATGTGTGTGTTTAGTGTGTTTAACTTTGGCAACAAATCCCTTTATCTGCTGAGCCATCTCACCAGCCCGAGGAGGGAGGGCTGAGTGGATAACGTGCTTTTAAGCACGTGATGACCTGAGTTCAGATCCCCGGCTCCTGATGGTGATGTCTGATGTGATTCCAGAGCTGGGGGTCAGAGACTGGAGGATCCAGTAGCAACTGCTGAGCTCCAGGTAGACACCTGTTGTTTAATTTAGTACTTAATTTTTCATGTAATTCTTCCTTGAAAAAATAAACGCCAGGTGGTGGCAGTGCATGCCTTAATCCCAGCACTTGGGAGGCAGAGGCAGGTGAACCACTGAGTTCCAGGCCATCTTGGTCTACAAAGGAGTTCCAGGACAGACAGGGTTACATAGAGAAACCCTGTTTCAAAAAAAAAAAAAAAAAAGGCATCTACACATTTTTAAACTTCAGGGTAGAGTAGCACAGCTGTAGTGATTTCCTAGCATGTAGGAGACCATGGGTTCAATCCTGAGCACTGCAAAAACAGATCCCAAAGAGCAAGTTATTTGTGTTGAGCCCCAGGTGCTTTCTAAGATCATTGCTTTGTGGGGTGACTGTTCCTCCCCCCTGGTGATTCTTATCCCTATTTGGGGCAGCAAGTATATGACTAGCTGTTTTTGAAGTTTTCTTGGCCCGACCAATGTCTTCCCATGTGGTTCCAATGTCCAGTTTAAAGGTACTCACTTCTGAGCGATTGCAAGGGAGGGTAGTCAGATGGAGATGTAACAATGTGTGCGCATGACCTTGGGGTAAAATGAATGTCATAGACATCTAGCAAGGGTTGTAGGAAATGCTGATTGGCACCAAAGCATTTGGTCAGACATTAAGCTGAAAGCTCTTCAAAGCCAAGAGAGTGAGCAGGAACGAAGCCCAGCCAGAGGAGAAGGCATGAGGTCAGGGGCAGGCATGAGCAAATCAGACTAGAAAAAAAAAAAAGGGCTGGGCTCAGTGGTGGAGCAGCTTGAATGTATGCCAGGGTGGACTGAATCCTGCCAGGGGTAGCAGTGAGCCAGCCATCAAATGTGTGTAACAAAGATGAGATTGCATTTCAGATAGATGATTGGTGTTCTTGGAAGGAGTGGGATTCCACCAGAAAGACCAGTTTGTTCACTGCAGCAACCAGCCAGCCAGCCAGAGTGTGGGACACGTCCCTTTGACTTTGTATTTGCTGAGCATCTACTGTGTTAAGGTGCTAGGGTGTACCAGGAAACGTGGCCATCATTCAAGCCATTGTGATGGTGTTTCTAGTCTGCAGAAAGAGACAATAAATAAATGGATAGGTCAGGTAATGATAAATCTGTGGAGAAAAATAAATAGGCAGAGATAAGGATTGTTTCTAACAAGTGACAGTTTAAGAGGGGTGGTCAGGGAAGGAGGCCTGTCCGTGTGACGTTGGACCCAAAGCAGCAGAGGGAAGGAAATGGTGGTTTGAGAGAAAAAAGGGCAGAATCAATAGACTTAGATATCCGGGCCATGGGCAGGATGGGGTAGGGTAAATCAAAAGGGAGTTCAGAGCCAGGCATGGTGTCACATATGCAGGATAGCCTTGAACTTGTAACTGAGGGTGGCTTTGAACTGATATTCCTGCTGCCACCTCCCAGGTGCTGGGTTTACACATGTGAGCCACCATACCCATTTAAAGGTGACACAGAGCCACTTAAATGTCTCTGTAGGTGGTACAGTGCCCAAGTGTTGGCCCAAGATGGCTAAGGGTACTGCTGCTGTTCATGAGACCCAGGTTCAGCCCCTACCTGTCCTCTGTTGTCATTGGGCCGTTATCTCCCTGGGTGGATAGGCCTCAACTGCTTGAGATGATAGTATCATCCTCCGATGTCCACACTGGCCAGGCCCACTGCTGGGCCCATTATAGATATGCAGTGAATATCACCATTGGAAGGGGCTCCCAGAGCCAGGCCCCATCCCAGTTAGCCTGTGGCTGCCTGCTCAGTGACTCCCTTTCCTAATGGATGCTGCTGAGCGATTGCTTTGTCAGGGTAAAGAAGCGAGGGTTCATCTCTGCAGGCTTCCTCTGTCAGCAGTAGCCTTGCCTAGGATGTCCATATAGAGGATTTCTTGTGCAGACAGTATGACACAAGTTGAGTAACACTGATTTCAGATCCCCTTCCCCGTTTTTTCTTCAGACCTCTGTGTACCTCGTGCTGTGCCCTACCTGGATGAGCCCCCAAGTCCACTCTGCTTCTACCGGGATTGGGTGTGTCCCAATAGGCCCTGCATTATTCGCAATGCCCTGCAGCACTGGCCAGCCCTCCAGAAGTGGTCCCTCTCCTACTTAAGGTAAGATTTTCTTTGTGGGATGGGGTAGACCAGTGACCATTAGAGGCAGGCTACAAACCAAGTATCCGTGCCTTCAGAGCCACAGTGGGCTCCACAGAGGTGAGTGTGGCTGTGACCCCAGATGGTTACGCGGATGCTGTGCGAGGGGACCGATTTGTGATGCCTGCTGAACATCGTCTGCCCATGAGCCATGTGCTGGATGTGTTGGAGGGTCGGGCCCAGCACCCAGGAGTCCTCTATGTGCAGAAACAGTGCTCCAATCTGCCCACTGAGCTGCCTCAGCTTCTGTCAGACATGGAGTCCCATGTACCCTGGGCCTCTGAGTCACTGGGTAAGTGGAGGAGGGAAGAGGCAGGGCGTGGGGATGAAGTGAGGGGAAGGGTTCAGCTCGCTTGTTCACTCTGTCTTTGGTGTTGGTTCCTTGGGCTCAGGTGCCACCTGCCTGCCCGCCCCATGATTGGACATGAAAGCAGAAACCCTGAAAGGGCTGCTGTCCCTTCTGCCCCAGGGGTCACACTCCCAGTGTCACCTTCTCCTAGATTCCTTGACCTTCCTTTGCCCCCACTCAGATTTCCGAATAACTGCCCTGTGATCGTCAGCCTGATACTAGCTCACTCTGTCCCACAGGAAAGATGCCTGATGCTGTGAACTTCTGGCTGGGGGAGGCAGCTGCAGTGACATCCTGTAGGTGTGGGGACTCCTGAAGAGGGGAGGGAGCTGCTGGGGCAGAGGGAAGAAAGGTGGGCCCAGGTTACTTTTGATATTTTGGGACTAGGCCACCACAAAGGGTCTCTCCTGATAGCAGGGGCATTAGGGACAGGGTACACCACACCCTCTAGGTTACGAGACGCCTCTTCAAAAGCCAGATAGTTAGGAGAGCAGGGCTCAGGAAGTAGAGCCTGTTGATTCTGCTTCCCCTCCTAATGAAGGGGAACCCACATCCAGTATCTGTGATGCTTGCTGGAGTCCTCAGAGTCTCCCCGATTCTGCTGATCCTGTATGGGTTCTCCTTTCTCTGTAGGCTCTGTTGAGGGGTGGTGGGGCTGAGGGCAGACTGGGCTGCTCTCCTCTCATCTCCAGGTCTTCTGTGTGTTGGCAGTGCACAAGGACCACTATGAGAATCTGTACTGTGTGGTCTCTGGCGAGAAACACTTCTTGTTACATCCACCCAGTGACCGGCCCTTCATCCCCTATGGTAGGTAACATGACCTAAAAGGAGCTGGTAGCCAGTGGTGGAGGGCGGGCAGCAAGAGGGCAGGCTGGGTGCCCAGGCCTGAGGTACAGCCTCAGGGCCCCCACCCTCCGGTCTCTGTCTGCGGGGAACACTGGCTGGCTGTGGTGGGAGGGTCTGGCAGGCTGTTGGTCATTCATCTGCCTGACCTCGCCTTCAGGTTTGTACACACCGGCGACCTACCAGCTGACCGAAGAGGGCACTTTTAGGATGGTAGATGAGGAGGCCATGGAGAAGGTGCTGTTCTGTTCTTGGCTCTGGGGAAGGGGTAGGCTCCCAGGTTCTGGGGAGGTGATACCTCCCGCTGAAAACCCCAAGTCTGTGGCTCTTCAAGGCTGGGAGGAAAGGGGACAGAGCTAGAGATCTTGTGTCTCTAGGTGCCCTGGATTCCACTGGACCCCCTGGCTCCAGACCTGGTCTGCTACCCCAGTTACAGCCAGGCACGGGCCCTTCACTGCACAGTTCGGGCAGGCGAACTGTTGTACCTACCAGCTATGTGGTTCCACCATGTCCAGCAGTCCCACGGCTGCATTGCTGGTAAGGAGCACCCAGGGCCCAACAAGGTATGGGTGGGGATGATTCTTGCTTAAAGGCTGGGCCCTTACATCCAGGTTCATCTTCTCCACAGTGAATTTCTGGTATGACATGGAGTATGACCTCAAGTACAGTTACTTCCAGCTACTGGACTCCCTCACTAGAACCACAGGCCTTGACTGATGGGACCCTCACAGACACTGCAAGCTGATGTGTGGGGGGTTGATTCTAGCTGTTGCCTGGGTTCCTGTGTGGGTTGAGATCAGCCTTGAAGAAATTTGGAATATAGTTGGAGGACCAGGAGATGCCAGACAGGTCTGGGTGAGGGTGTCCAGGAAGTTGCCACACAGGTGACAAGGAAACATGGATCAGGCACAGCAGTGCTTCTCACCAGTGCTATGACCTTGGGTGAGTCACTGCATGTTGGCATCAGTCATTTGGCTGTAAAGTGGAGATAATGATGGCTCTAGCTCCCAGGGCTGTTGTGGGATAGACATGGACCAACATAAATAAAAGGTGGCGTTGATAAATTTGTTCTCATATTCCCCATCACAGTTGCCCCCCATGGCCTGCTGAGGGCTTAAATGTTCAGGTAAAAGTTTCAAGGTGACCCTCGTTGAGGTGTGCAAGCCAGGTCCAGGCTTGGGATGCTACCTGCAACAGATGTGTCACAACTGGCTGGCTGGGACTTGCTTGACTCAGGGCCACCAATGCTGTCTCTAGCTTGGTCCCAGACTGTTTGCTTTTCCTGCCCTAGTTCCAGAGAAGCTGGTGGGTCTGGAGCCCTGAGGTGGCCCCTGTTCTACAAGTATAAACAAGAAGGATGGGAACCACATTCTTCCTGAGCTGTTCTCTGAGGAAGGAGTTGATCTCCACACCCAGACTCCTTTCTCACCAGCTGAAGAGCAGGGAGAGCCCCTATCCCTGCATGCCAACCCACAGGCCTCATCTCTGGTCACCCAGCTCCACGGGTGGAGGCAGCCTAGACACGGCTTTGAAGAACTGTTTTATGTGAAAGCCACTCCCCTTCAGGGTTGCGATGGGGCCTGAGGTACTCTTCTGAGATTGCCCAGGGCTCCAGTTCAGACTGGGCATTCCTGTCGTACTGGCACGGGGAAGGTTGCGAAAGGCCCCACGACAACGCGATGCCCGCTCCACTGTCCACTGCTGTTTGGGGGGCCACGGTCTGCTGACCTGCTCAGCTTACGACAGCAAGCTGTGTTAGGAACCCCCTCCCTCTAAATTAGGACTGGTTGGGAGAGTGGGGCTTCAGGGAGCCTATGGCTAACTGCAGGTGTCACTGGCTCCAGCATTGGCCTAAGGTGTCTCACTTCCTGGGCAGGTGGCTGGGTCAGCAGTGGGTGTGGGGCTTGGGTGGAGCGGAGGAGTCTGTGGGAGGGGTTTGAGAGGAATGTGTGGCCAGTTGGTTCACCTTGGCTCTGGGTTTAAAGCTGACAGTTGTTGGTCCTGTGGCTACTGCCCCATCACTCCTGTTCCTGTGGACTTGGTCTCATGGCTCTGGTAAGGCTCCATAGGGCACTGGGCTTCCTTTTCTGACTTGGTCCCCATCCAGGGCCCAGTGGCTACTGTTTCTAAGAGGAGCTGTGGGCTTCTCTAAGCAGGGGGAGGATGCTTTCCAGCTTCAGGACCAGGCAGTGGAAGCCGGGGGCAAGGCCAGAACTGGGATGGGGTTCGTCCTGGGAATGGGTTCCAGGCAGAACTCCCTGGATTTGGACCCTGGGAACCCTGAGGATCTTTCTTATCCACTGTCCTGGGGCTTAGAGAGAAGTACCTGCTCCATGCCTCTGACTTGGTTACTTGGCATGTGGGAACCCATGATGAACTTCCTCAGCTCTGCTCTGCTCCTGAACTTGACCACTGGCACCTTTCTAGAGATACGGTTGAAGGCCAAAAGGGCCAGGTGGCACAGGCTTCCTCTGCCCTAGCACATGGAGCAGAGGGGATTTGGAAGGAGCTCTAGAGACCATCAGATCTTGAGGATGGCGATGGGGGGGGGGGGGGGGCTGGGAGGGGGAGATGCCGTCCTGATCCTGCAGAATCCATTCCCAGGAAGGGGCAGATAGCACAGGTTGCAACTCACTCATGGTGCGTAAGCCCCAATGTATTCTGTCCCTTGACACCTCAGACTAGCCTCAAAGCTCCTTGGGGTGGGGTGGGGTGGTGAGGCAATGGGATAAAGAAAAAGGTACCGTACCTAGAAATAGTGTGCACCATTAACAAGCCATCTTGCCTGTGTTCAATCCTAATCAGGCCTCAAGAGACTGGCCTCAGCGTCCTTTCACAGTCGCCCATTGTCATAGCACCCTTCATAGGATGTGTGACAGTTTAGTAAATATATGCTGAGCCCTTGGTATGAAGCTGGCGCAGTGTGGTGTTTAATTATGAGAAGGTGTCATCACGCAGATACAGTGTCTCTTGTCACTCCAGGATTCTGATGGGTTCAGGTGGACCTGGATCTTTTGGTAGAGAGTTAAACCTTGAGAGACTGTCCCAACCTCCCCTGTGGCCCTGTCACATTTGGCCCCATCCACTGATAGCAAACCTGCCCCATCTGTCTGCAGGCAAAGGTGGCAGGGACATGCCTGCTCACTGTACGTGTCCTCCAGGCTAATGGCTTGCCTTCCAAGGACCTAGGTAAGCACACTGCCTCCCTGGCCATTCTCTGAGCTCGGAGAACAGCTGAGGGCTGATTGAGAGTAATCAGTACCAGTGCGAGGGGCTGCGAAGAAGACGGGGCTGCAGGGGTCTCCTGGAGAGAAGGGTCCCCACAGTGGCAGAAGACTCAGCCCTGTGGACACAGTATCTCAGGAAGAAGGAAGTAGAGTCAATGGTGGGCAGGGGAGGGTTCTTGTTCATTATAAGACACGTGCTCCTCCTTCCTGCAGTGACATCCTCTGATTGCTATGTGACTCTGAGCCTGCCCACGGCCTCCAGCCACACGCTCCAGACACGCACAGTCAAGAACAGCAGAAACCCTGTCTGGAATCAGAACTTCCACTTCCGGATCCACAGGCAGCTCAAGGTAGCCAAGCATCAAGTATGAGCCTGCCCTTTTCCCTGTGCCCCATTGCCACATATAGTTTCCCGCTCATCCCACTCCATCCCATATAAGCCACCTCCCCTCTGCCTCTTCCAGAATGTTGTGGAACTGAAAGTCTTTGACCAGGACCTAGTGACCAAAGATGACCCTGTGCTGTCAGTGCTGTTTGACGTGGGGACTCTGCGAGCTGGGGAGTCTCGGCGCCAGAGTTTCTCACTGAGCACTCAGGTGTAGTATGCTCAGGGAAGTGGGGGCACCCCAATTCTGAGGATAGGACTTCAGAATCTCCCTGCTTCAGGGATCCCAGTCAGCTTTTCACCAAGGAGCGCCCTGTCCCCAGCTCACCTTCTGATCAGAAGCACAGTTTCCTGGGAACAGTCCAAGGAGTGTGGACAGAGTGACCTGGAAAGGGACAGTGGTCCTTCCCCAGCTCTATGGCCTCAGCATCTTCCACTGCCATCTAGGTTGCCAGTCCCTCTAACTTTGCTTCTCTTTCAGGAGGACGGATGCCTGGAAGTTGAATTTCGGCTGCAGACTCTGTGAGTAGGGCTCGGGGGAGCCTGGTGGGTGGCAGTTGAGAGCTTCCTTCTGGGAAGGGTGGTGACAGCTCACCAAGGCTGGTACCCTCCTTGGTAGAGGAGTGCCTGGGCTCTTGCAGACAGTCACTGGGGGCCTCTTTCCAGGACAGGCCGTGAGGAACAGCTCGTCAGCAATGGCATCCTAGTGGTGAGTGAGGAGCCTGGGGCTTCCCCCTCGTAGCTTATTGCTCTGCTGTCTGCTCTTCCCCTCTCAGACTTGAATAGGCTCTGCACAGCCTGGGTCATATCGGCCAAGTTGGGGACCTTGGTATACACGTTCCCCAAGGGAGTAAATGTCAAGCAAATGCTTAGTGACTGAGGGTACTAAGTGTAACAGTGTTCTGGGGAGCAGGGACCAGGAACCCACAATGTAGGGTCCCAGAGAAGCTCAGGGGTTCTCTTAACCACAGGCTCGGGAGCTCTCCCATTTGCATGTTCAGCTGAAGAAGACAGGAGACCCAGGGGGTGAGTTCATCATCCTTAGGCAGCCCTTCTTCCTTTCTTCCTGTCTCGTCCTCCTTTCTAAGGTGTGGCCTTGTACTGGCTGCAAAAGTTGGGAGGCAAGTCCATGCTGGGACTCCCCTGGGCTCCATCTCTCCACCTGGACCATGTCAGAGGGACTTCCCTGCAGCCTTGATAAGGAATTCGGTAGACAGAGAGCCCGTCCTGAGTTTTCACTCTGGTTTCTGTTTCTAGGGTCAGACAACAGAGTTCAGCTTGTGGTTTCTGGGGCCTGTGAGGGCCCACAGGATGCCTCTGTGGGCACCGGGTCTTTCCTCTTCCATTACCCAACCTGCTGGGAGCAAGAGCTGAGTGTTCATCTGCAGGTAGTGTGTCTTGCTCCTGAGACCCTCCCCACTCCCAGAAACCCTCCCAACGTGACCTGTGCTTCCCTGCCCAGTCACATTTGGGGTGATGTTAGCCTCCTGTTCCCTTCCCTACTGTTGTGTCCCTGCCACAGGGAGTTGGTGGGATCTTTGCTAAGAAAGGAGTAATGACCCGTGGGGGTCCTTTCTCCCCTACTGCTAAGGATGACCCCCACGAGCAACTGAAGGTACCACTACGCGCAGTACCCTCTTCGCAGTTGGTGAGACTCGTCTTCCCCACGTGCCAGGTACTGGTCAGGAAGAGAAGCTGGGTTTGTGGGCGGGGCTGTCATTGGCCTAGCCTTGGAGCAATCACCCTGCTTTTGTGGCTGATTCTCCCTTTAGGCCATGCCCCTGGCCAGTGGGTGGAGTATGGATCCTGTGAAAGTGCTTGGGGCCCAAGGGTGGTCTGGGGTGCACCAACGCCACAGTGGGGTAGCCGTAGCCAGCCTTTCTGATGATGGTACTCATGGTTTTCAGGAGCCACTGATGAGGCTGGAACTGAAGAAGGAAGAAGGGTGAGAGCCTGCCTGGGAAATGGGAGAGCAGGGGTGGTGAAGGTCAGTCTGCCTGGAGCGGGGATGCAGCAGTTCCTGGGTGCATGGGACTGTGCATCAGGAGGAGGCTTCATGTGGACAGGCTGTTCTTACTGTTCCCACCTAGATTTGCTACAGTGCGGGATGAGCCCTGTGCCCTGCCCAGCACACACCCTGGGAAATCCAGGATCAGTGTCTGTCCAGATAAGCAGGACAATGAGCAAGGACACAAAGAGGATGGGGAGGGATGCCCTCACCATGGAGGACACAAAGAGGATGGGGAGGGATGCCCTCACCATGGAGGACACAAAGAGGATGGGGAGGGATGCCCTCGCCATGGAGGACACAAAGAGGATGGGGAGGGATGCCCTCACCATGGAGGACACAAAGAGGATGGGGAGGGATGCCCTCGCCATGGAGGACACAAAGAGGATGGGGAGGGATGCCCTCACCATGGAGGACACAAAGAGGATGGGGAGGGATGCCCTCGCCATGGAGGACACAAAGAGGATGGGGAGGGATGCCCTCACCATGGAGGACACAAAGAGGATGGGGAGGGATGCCCTCGCCATGGAGGACACAAAGAGGATGGGGAGGGATGCCCTCGCCATGGAGGACACAAAGAGGATGGGGAGGGATGCCCTCGCCATGGAGGCTGTTGAGGAGGGAGGGACCTTAAATGCCTTTCAGAAGAGGGTGGCTTTTCATCACAAAGGTGGGGGCAGTGGGCCTTGTTTTCTGTCCCCGGTCATCATTTTTGGAGCTGTGGGTGAGGGACAGAGTTGAGTTGGAGGATACCCAGCCCTAGACCCATGGTCTGCTTTACCTCAGCCACGGTGTGTGCATGGCCCTGGGTTCTCCTTCCCCTTACTCCACAGCAGGTGGTGGTGAGGACTGGGAGGGGCTGAGAGGGAACAAGGGCCTGGCAGATGAAGCAACCAGTTTCGTGTTCTGTGGTGGGGCTGAGAACTGCTTTTGGGTCTCTTCCTTCTCTCCAGACCAAAGGAGCTGGCTGTGCGGCTGGGCTGTGGGCTCTGCCCCGAGGAGCAGGCCTTCCTGAGCAGGAGGAAGCGGGTGGTGGCCGCCGCCCTGAAAAAGGCCTTACAGCTGGACCAAGACTTGCAAGAGGATGAGGTCTGGGAGCTGAGCACAACTGGGCAGCGTTTTCCTCATGACTGCTTTGGCCCAGGGCCCAGAGCTGGTATCAGCTCGGGGCTGTCACTGGCAAGCTCTGCCTGCCCTGTTCCTCTTCCTCGATGCTATCAGGGTGATACATGAGGCACCAGCAGCTCACAGATGGGAGTCTCCACACAGGCTGACCTGTCTTCCCTGTGTTTTGGTCCCCCACCTGACTGATGAGTGAGGTGACTTGACTGAAACACACCTGGTATGAGGATGGTCTCTTGGCTCAGAATGGTCCCTGAGGGCCAAACCAGCCTGAGTTGGCTCCTAGCAGAATGAATTCCAGCACTGGAGAGCAGGACCTTGCAGGCTTCCAGAAAGTAATCTCAGGCTCCTTGTGGCCTGGCACTTGTTGGGTTATACTTCTGGAGCCCTGATGTTTGAAGCAGTGAGGCCTTTGGGAGGCTGTTTTCTGACTAGGTCTCAACAGGACTGACTGAGAGCTGGCCCCAAGACTCGATCACATCTTGACTGCCTGGCCCCTTGGCAATCACGAGCTCTTCCCAGAGTACGGCTTTCTCTACTCCTCAGGCCTTTTTGAACCTGGCTATCCTCTTCCAGGTCCCCGTGATTGCTGTTATGGCCACTGGTGGTGGCATCCGGGCCATGACTTCTTTATACGGGCAGCTGGCTGGCCTGAGGGAGCTTGGTCTCCTGGATTGCATCTCCTACATCACTGGAGCCTCAGGATCCACCTGGTGAGCTGGTTGGGGGCTGAGTGCTGGAGGCTGCAGCTAGCTGGTATAATGTAGTGAAAGGACTTCCTAAGGCCCACGGCCCCTGTGAAAACTGCATGGGCTGGGGAAATGCTGGCAGTAGAGCACAGTGTGCTCCAGGGAACAAGGAGGTGCTGGCCAGACCGTTGGCCTTCAAGAGAAAGTCAAAGACATGTGAAGTCCAGATGGGTCCTTTGGTGACAGCATTCCCCTACTCCTAAGCTTTGGCTTTCCTCAGGGCATTGGCCAACCTCTATGAGGACCCAGAGTGGTCTCAGAAGGACCTGGCAGGGCCCACCGAGTTGCTAAAGACCCAGGTGACAAAGAGCAAACTGGGTGCATTGGCCCCCAGACAGCTGTGGAGGTACCGGCAGGAGCTGGCTGAGCGTACCCGTCTGGGCCACCCAACCTGCTTCACCAACTTGTGGGCCCTCATCAATGAGGCCTTGCTGCATGATGAGGTACGGGGAGAGTAGGCCCTGGGTAAGTAAAGCTAAGATGAAGCCGTCTGGAGAGGGATGCATCCCTGAGTGATATGTGGGAAAGACAGCTAGCATCAGGAAGCTGAGGGCTTAGGCCAAGTCCTCTTTCCCTCAGCCCCATGAACACAAACTCTCAGATCAGCGGGAGGCTCTGAGTCGAGGCCAGAACCCTCTGCCTATCTACTGTGCCCTCAACAGCAAGGAGCGGGGCCTGACCACCTTTGAATTTGGGGGTGAGTAGCTTCGGAGCTGGGGCCTGTACTCTTATGGGTGGTAGGGTACAGTGTGTCTAGTCCTGTATGTAAGAAGTGAATCTGATGCCCACTTCTCCTGGTCTGAGTACCAAAGACTGTCATCTTGCCAGCTTCTTTACACCCTTGGGATGGGAGAAGAGACCTTAATTCCCATGCTTGTAACAAGGCCTGAGTGTTCTGGTCCCCTGAGCTGAAGTAAAGCCCCTGGTGGGTGTCCAGGACTCAAGGTCTCTCTCTGGGCTCCATGGCTGAGGTGTGTGTGTCCTCACAGAATGGTGTGAGTTCTCTCCCTATGAAGTTGGCTTTCCCAAGTATGGGGCCTTCATCCCCTCTGAGCTCTTTGGCTCCGAGTTCTTCATGGGGCGACTGGTGAAGCAGCTCCCTGAGTCCCGCATATGCTTCCTGGAAGGTGAGGAGGCTAGATAATGGGAGGCTTGGGAAAGGGGCCTGGGTGAAAGGGAGGCCCTCACCTTGCCCACCTCAGCCAGAGGGAGGGTGGGTTCAGACTGTAACAGCAGGTGAGGACATTTCACTTGATGCCCTTTTCTCAGGTATCTGGAGCAACCTGTTTGCAGCCAGCCTCCAAGACAGCTTGTACTGGGCCTCTGAACCCAGCCAGTTCTGGGACTGCTGGTCCCAGGATCAGGCCAGCCTGGGTAGGTGTTTAGGCTTTCTCTAGGAGAGAGATGGGCTGCCAGTTGGGAGTGTCTGAGACATTGTAGACCTCAACTGCTTCCCTTCTAGGGTCCCCACAGAGATTGGGACAAAGGATCAGAGACCTCCTTTTCCTAATGTCACCGTCACCTCACCCCCACTCTTGCCTGTGCAGACAAAGAGCGGGTCCCCCATCTGAAGATCACAGAACCACCGAAAACAGCTGGCAGGATCGCCGAGTTCTTCACCGATCTCCTGACAAAGCGGCCGCTTGCCCAGGCCACCCACAATTTCATGCGGGGCCTCCATTTCCACAAGGACTATTTCCATCACCCTCACTTCTCCACCTGGAAAGGTACACATCCCACCCGGCTCTCCCGGCTCAGCCCGGCTCTCCAGCATCCTTAGCCTTAGGACACCCCACCACCACCTTTCCTCTCCCTGAGATATGCTGCCTTGGCAGGATTTGTGGGAACCGGGGACTTCTCTCACCCCAAACCTTTGTAGCTACCAAACTGGATGGATTCCCCAACCAGCTGACACCCATGGAGCCCCACCTCTGCCTCCTGGATGTTGGCTACTTCATCAATACTAGCTGCCCACCCCTCCTGAAGCCAACACGGGATGTGGACCTCATCTTGTCACTGGATTATAACCTCCATGGAGCCTTTCAGGTTGGCTAGCCTGTCTTCTAGGAACCTGATGAGAACTGCTTAGGATCCAGTATCTGGCCTAGCTTCCATTGGGGGGTATGGCAGTGGCACCCCTTACTGGGGGAAGTTAACTCTGCTCTGGGAGTGGGGTGGAGTAGCTGGGATATCTTCACCTGTCCTGTACCACAGTTCTTTGCCGATCCTGACATACCTGCTGCTTTTGGATGGCTCTGTTTTCAGAGGGCTGTTGGCCACTAACTCAGGGGAGCACAGTCAGACTGTGGGACTCTGGGTCCACTGGAGTCTCCAACTTGGTCTTTGAGCACCAAGTCCTGTGCGTCTTAGTAAAGCCCTTGTATAGTCAGCCTTGCACACTGGTCCTCTAATGCCCCCTCTCCTGCCCAGCAGCAGCTGCAGCTTGTGAGCCGGTTCTGCCAGGAGCAGGGCATCCCCTTCCCACCCATCTCTCCCAGCCCCGAGGAGCAGCGCCAACCTCAGGAGTGCCATGTGTTCTGTGACCCCACGCAGCCCGAGGCCCCAGCTGTACTGCACTTCCCTCTGGTTAATGACTCCTTCCAGGACCACTCGGCCCCTGGTGAGCCGTGGCCCCCCCTCTTTCAGGCTGCCTCAGTGCAGGTGCCCCAGGCCTCCTGCCTGATTGTCCTCTCTCCACAGGGGTGCCACGGACAGTGGAGGAGAAGGCTGCTGGGAAGGTGAACCTGTCATCCTCTGATTCCCCATACCACTACACAAAAGTGACCTACAGCCAGGAGGATGTGGACAAGTTGTTACGCCTTACACATTACAACATCTGCAACAACCAGGAACGGTTGCGGGAAGCCCTGCACCAGGCCGTGCAGCGGCGGAGACGGCGCAAACAGTGCAGGCCTGAGTGATGGCCCAGATACCTGGCGGGATTCCTACCTGGGAACCTTTGACCTTCCATTCCACTCCTTCCCTTTCTGCTTTGAGTTGAAGACCAGTGTCACCAAGTGCTGCTCCAGAGCCCAATTCTGCAAGGATGTGTGTCTGGAATCTCCAGAGGTGACACTAAGCCTGTCAGCAGCCTGTATGAGAGTCTAGGCTGCAAGCAGAGTTGCTAGGCCATCATTCAGTACTTAGGGGTGGCCTAGCTCACCCCTAGGAAGGACTCATCATGGGACAGTGTTGGTGCATGACAGGGACAATGTGTCATGTTACAGGGGCTCTTATAAATGGGAGGCGCTTGGGTGGCGCTGTCCCAAGATTATCTGGTTGTATCAGGCTATTAGTTTCACGGGGCATCTTTCCAAGAGGCCACTAGCATGGAAGTTCCAGCCCTGTCCAGATTGTCAGACTCCCATCTTTGTCCAAACAGAGACCTTGGGGTAAAAAGATTCAGCATCATCAGTCATAGCCGGGATCAACATGACAACAGCAGCACTTATCCTGTAACGGGGGCTGTTTTCTAGAAGCTGGTCCTCAGCAGCCGGGGAAGGGTGCCTGGGGGCCAGTGGCTCCCTAGTTTGTCTTCACTTGTAGCCCCAAGGTTTGGTGTTGCCCCAGGATTCATATCAAGGCTCAGACCTGTTGGGGAGAACAGAGATTAGGAACATACACCACAGAATCCCCCCTAAACATGGTGTTCAGCCCTCTGCCTCCCGGGGACACCCCACCTGCTCCTACTGTAGGAGCTGTGCGATGCGTGGGATGTAATGACTTTGATTCTCAGGCCCTGCAAGCTCTGTCAGCCACACAAGTGATTCTCAGGCCCTGCAAGTTCTGTCAGCCAGACAAGTGATTCTCAGGCCCTGCAAGCTCTGTCAGCCAGACAAGTGATTCTCAGGCCCTGCCCTGGAAATGTAGCTGGGATGTTTGAAATGTAATCCCAGCTACTCAGGAGACCGAGGCAGGCAGATCACACGTTCAAAGCCAGTCTGGGCTACAAAAGTAATTTCAAGGCCAGTCTAGATAACTTAGTGAGTTGTAAAGTTCAAGATAGCCAAGGCTTTATCTCCATGGTAGGGTATGTGCACGATGCCCTCGGCTCACTCCCAGGACCACCAGAAACTAATCTGTCTAGAACAAGTCCTGTTTTTTCATCTAACACACCATCTGAGTCAAGCTGGAGTTCAGGAGTCCTGAAAGAAAGGTGGATAGCTATGCCAGAAACCACAGTGTGGCCGTCACCTGCTGTAGCATCATGAGAGCCTCCAGGCACACAGCTGTGCATCAGCCTAGATATAGGACATTGCTACACTGGACCTGAAGACCCATGTGTGTGTGGGAAGTGTTCACATCCTCTTCCAAATGCCCCCATTTTTAGCGGTCTGAAGCCCTCTAGCCTGGAGATAGGAAAGACATGGGTGAGATGCCTGAGCATCTGAATGAAGTCAGGATCCACACAGGGGTGAGGATGCCAAAGAAGAGCCTGTATTCAACCTGACTCATCCCTCAGCCTTTATACTGCTTGCCATGGGCCTGGACATGCTGATGCCTTGGCCCTGATCAGGGACAGAATCAAGACAGGATGGAGGTAAAGAACAGAGATGCAAGCAATGGCTGAGGCTTTGCTGTCTCAGGAAGGAAACAGGAGTTAGTGAGGACTACAGGGAGGACGGTCCAGGAAAGCATTTCAGTGGTATGCAGGGGGGGGACGGGACACCCAGGGTGATCTGTCACCAGCAGAGCAGGGTCTCCCCAGGTGTAGAGGGTGGGTTGGGCAGGGATGAGATGGAGTGAGCCCCTGTAAGGGGCAGGAGTCTGGGGAAAGGGAGTCTTGTACCTGGGTTCTGCTGTCATCTCTAAAGAGTGGAGGTGTGAATATTTCTGGCTCTCTGAGGGGTGGGAGCAAGGGTCTCCCATGTGGAGCCTCTCAGCCAGCCCACTCAGCATCTCAGGGCTAAGAGAAAAAGCCGGTACACCAGTACACCAGTATCCCCCCCTTAAGCACAGCTCCCCACTCTTAGCTGGGAACCTGGCCTGAGTTCTAGGCTGTAAAACCAAGCAGACTCCTCGAGAGCTCCCCACCTAGACCCAGAGAAGGGAGGTGCTGCCAGTGAGGGAGGGAGGTGGAGAGATTTGGGGTCCCTTTGGGATTCTGCAAAGAGGCTTGGGGTGGAAACTGGGGAGGTGATGACAGCAAGGAAGGCTGGGGCCAATGGACTGGAGGGAACCCTGGCACCCATCACTCGCCACAGAGAACCCATCAGACACAGAAAGGCACAAATGGCAAGGAGTGTTTTCTGCACATTCTTCCTGCTGGTGGGAGCTTGGCCACAGTCCAGACCTCTCGGGATATAGCATTCAGAGTTACCAGTGAAGTCCAGAAAGGAACGGAGCCCACAAAGTTCCTGGCTGGAGTGGATGGGGCCAGTACAGACTCCAAGAGGGACAGGGCAAGACAATCTTTACCTCTGCTACTAATTAGCTGTGTCATTTTGCTCGAGTTTCTTAACCTCTCAGAGTTTAAGTACTTTGAGAAAAACATCAAGTTCCACTTTTAGACATTAGAGGTAGTAGCTGTGAGAACCCATAGCTACATAAAATATAAACTGCACTGGGAGCTTGGGGCCCACCTTCTTCCTTCTCTACAGCCCACCTGCCATGCTATCCAGGGCTGCTTTTCAGCTAGTACTGCAAACAGATCTCTGTTTTGACGCTCAGCCTGCCTCCCAAACAGGCCCCAGTAAACCCACTTCCCTGCAGCCCCTCAGCCACACTTGCTGTCAGAGGCCAGGCCTATAGTCCTCACCTTGGGGAGAAAGTGTGCTTCCTGTTCTCCAGTCTCTCACGCTCAGGCGTAAGGGGAGCTACGTAAGCCAGCTCCTAGGGAGAGATGAGGTGCAGGGCCACAGGGGCCACCTCAGCTTTTCACCCGCGGGACCCGAGGCTGGTCTCTTATCCCAGTGCCACCCAGCACTCCCACTGCCTTCCTCATATCCGGAAACAGGCTCAGGGCTCTGCTTGCCATGATCCCATGGCTACTGTTCCAGAAGCTGGTGCTGGGCTGTGGGGAAGACAAGGGAAGAAGGCCCCAGGCTCCAGGCCTTTCCATGGTCTTCACGGGAAAGAGGCGACAAGGAAAGCTAACAGGACAACCAAGAAGGGGAAGAGGGGGACCCCTTCTCTTCACCTCTCCTGTGGATAGAAACTATGGGCCTTTCTTGAAATCACCTAGGAAGCTACCCAGGAGTCTACTGGTAATCACAGTGTCAGGCCCAGACGGCCACTGAACATGGAGTTGCCTACTCTGAGGGCTAGCACTCACCGGCATCCCCTCTGTGGGAGGCTGCTGCTTAAGTTTCACAGGCCCCTCCATGACATGAGTGCCCTTCACCTCCTGAAAATACAAGGCAGGGGTCCTGATGTCAGGTCCAACATAGACAAGAAAAGGGAGATACTCATTCCTCATTTCTAGTGGGCCCCAGAACTCCTGGCCCCTATATGCCTGCCTAAAATGTGAATCCCTGTGGCCTGGCTACATGCTCCAGGGATAACAGTCTATAGTAGGTCCCTCATCTCAGTCAGAAGTGCAACCAACCCCCAGTTCAGAGAGCCTCCACAGGAAGGCCACCTGGCTGCTAGCACATTGTATGTTTCTGTGTGTGTGTGTATGTGTGTGCACACGTGTGCGCACGTGTGCATGCATGCGTGTGTGCGTGCATGTGTGTGTGCACAGACACACCATAACCTTAATGCTTCCCTGTTTTCTCCCACTCCAAGAATGCTGGTCTCCTCTATGATTGTGTTTCAGCTTTGGAGTCTTCTGTCCTTGCTAGCCCACAGGGTTACACCTCTCCACAGGGCCCTTGGGTAGCTGGGGTGGTTGTTTTCCTGAAGGAGAAGCCCTGAGGAAGACTCCATGAGGCCTCACTGCCCTCAGGAGCCCTAACCTATAGACTGAGGAACTGTCCCCAACTACCTCATATGCCTCTTCTCAGTGCACCCAGCCCCCCTCATCCAGCCCTTGAACCTCTGTCATTGTCTGAAGCTGGGTGAACATCTCCTCATGGGCCTCCAGTAGCTTTTCCAAGGCCTGGTGTCTGCAGAGCAGACGTTCCACATCCGTCACCGAGCGCTGAGAGCAATGAGTATGTGGCTCAGTTCTGGGGTGCAGGCCCTCCTTTGCCCTCCACTCTCAGCCCAGGGGCCCATGAGCAGGAACAGCGAGATCTGCCTCCACTTACCCCACAGCTGGGGTCCAGCAGCAGGCCTTCCTGGGAGGCCAGCCAGGCCTCAGCCAGCTCCAGCCTCTGCCGGAGCCGCTGCAGGCCCTGGCTCTGCCCAAAGCGTTGCCCACGCAGGTCCCGTGCTACCTGAAGCTCCTGCAGATGTCTCTCCAGCTCCTGCAGACACTCTGCCACCTGAAGGAAGGGGCTGCTGCCATGAGAGCCTGGGCAGAGCTCCCACCCTGGCAGGGTTAGCAGGACAGCCAAGCCTTTGTCGTCCTCCTCTCCCTCCATCAGCAGTGAGGCTCATCCCACCCTCCATCCACACCTCCAGGGACATGAAGTGACCGTTGTCTAGCAGCTGCTGTCCTTCCTGCCGTGTGTTCTGGGCTTGAAGGCAGCACTCCTGAATTTCTTGGTCCAGTTCCTCATGCTGCTCAAGGAACTGCTTGGTTCCCACCACGTCCTCAGCTAGCTCCTTGGAGGAAAGCAGCTCCCGAGACCACGTTCTGCAAGAAAAGAGCTTCTAGCAGAGCTGGTGAGGCAGCCTGGGGGCAAGGGCAGAATGCTATCCCCACAGCCAGGCTACGGCAGAGCTGAGCTAACCACGGATAGGACCCCTGCTTACAGCAATTCCCGACAGCGCCCAAGAAAGGTGTGGCCCTGGGTAGCCTGGGACAGCTTCTGGCTCCATTCCTGGACTTTAGCTTCCAGGTTGGCCTGGACTCCCTGCACCTTGGTGAGCCACTCAGCCAGACCCTCCTGAGCCACGGGGTAGTGCTGGCCCAGTCGATGGGCCTCCGTCTGTGCTCTTGCCACCTGGTTTTCAATAGCTGTCAGTTCTCTCTGCAACCAGAACACGAGGTCAGGCCCCACTCCTCGGGAAGCCATCCTCCCCATTCAATGGTGCCTGGCCTGTGGAGACCCCTTTGTTCTGCTCTAAAACCTGTACCAAGTCCCTGGGTCAGAGGAGAGGGATCTGATGTCTTGGAGAAATGGCCCAGAGGCGGGTCCCAGGGTGGACAGCCATTACCTATCACCTCTGATGAGGGACTGAGGCACATAGATCTTATGCAGGAAGACCGGCTGGGGTGAGCAGGCCTGGGTGAGGCCTTTACCTGCAGGCACCTATGCTTCTGCCACAGGGGCTGTGCAGGTGACAGGCCGTGGACCCGGAACTCTCCCTCCAGCAGGGTGGTCTTCTCCTGTATCCAACCTTGGAGCTCTGAGGCAGCCAGCTCAAAGCTCTGGAGCTCACGGGCTGCAGCCAGGTTCTGGGAGACGAGGGAGAACCTGCTCAGGGCTGTGCTGTACTCCACGGCTCACGCTCCCCCAGACATGGCCTACCTCTCTACGGAGTTCTACCGCCTTGCTCAGCCTCTCCCAAGCAGCCTGAATGCGATACTTCTGGGCTTGAATCTGGGGATAGAACCTGGGTGTTCCTCTTTCCAGGGGGGCCATCAGCTCCCTCAGGGTCTGGACCTTGGCCTGCCCCAGGCTCTGGACTTCTCTGCTAAAAGCACCAAATACGGCTTCCATCACCTGGAAGAGTGTAAGCCCAGAGATTGCAGAGCTTCTGCCGGCAGTCGTGCAAGCTCGCTAGGGGCCAGCACCAGTGGCTGCAGCATCACTTAGCCCTGGAGTTCTAGAACTGCACATTCCTGCAGCATCTCCCTTGTTCACCCCTCAGGGTCCTCCATCCTCAAATGTATGCCTCCTTCACCTAAAGCAGCTTCTCCCTCTGCTCCCCTGGGTCTGCTGAGGACCAACCCACCTTGATGCCTTCTAGGTCTTGTCCACAGTCCTGGGACTCAGCAGCAGTCAACTTGGCGGTCAGCCAGGCATCCAGGAGCTGGGCTTCTCGCTCCAGCTGGTGTAGGTGCAATTGTTCACGCAGTGCCTGCCCCCTGCCCTCTGCCCTCTGCAGCAGCTGGGCATGGGCTTCCCTCACAGCCTGCAGCTGGGATAGCACCCTAGGACTGTGATAGGAAGAAAGGACACCATAGACTACAGCCCTCCCTCTCCAAGTTGGACCAGTGTCCTTTGCCTGTGTGGCAGGGACACCCTCCTCACTGTCCTTCTCCAGGAGTGTGGCTCTGGCATACCTGCCTGGGTTCTTCCCACGCTCCAGAAGGGCTGCTATTTGCTGTAGTCGCTCAATGCGACTCCTGAACCCCTCCAAGTCTCTCATGGTGGCCTCCAGGTGCCGCAGAAGAACCTGTGTGACCTCAGCATCCTGGCCCAGGTCCTCACAATCCAGAATATGACCCTGTTCAGCTAGCCAGGATCCTGCCTCCAGGAGCTAGACAGTGTGACAGCAGGAATTCGTTTTCCTGGGCCCAGCACTTCACTTTGAGACTTGAGCAGAGGGCTCCCAGCCTCAGGGGTTCGGAGTGCGGTTAGGGAATATGGGGTGGGCTTGGGGAGGGTGTCCTCAGCCAGTTTCATGGGAAAATTGGAGAGCTCTCATGGCTCCTCCCCAGCACCTTCCAGAAGGTGTTATACTGGAAGGACCCTGAGGGTCAGCATTTTAAGAGTTCCATGTGATTCCTTCCTTTTTCTCCATGTAACATAAAAACAATTCATTTTTGCTTCTCAGAGACAGAGCTGCTATTTAGTATAATAAAAGCATATTAAAAATAAGTAAATAAATACAAATTTTAGCCAACAGTCCTTACCTCATTTCTTTTCATTTATTTTTTGTCTTATGAGACAGGGTTTCACTTTGTAGGCCTTGGTTGACCTGGAACTTGAAGTGGACCCCCTGCCTCTGCTTCCTGAGTACTGTAAGCATGAGCCACCATCCCTGGTTTCTAATTACTCTGTTTGAGATAGGATCTCACTATATAGCTCAGCCTTCTAGGCACTGGGAGTACACAGCTCACATTTCTTGTTACTTGTTTAGTTTGTGGGGAGGCTCAGATGTAGTTGCAAGGGATTCCAGTGATTCCGACAGTTTGAGCTGAGACCTGCCCCCCCCCCAGGTTTGGAAGAAACTGTGAAAGTGAAACAAATGAGCCCAGGGTGCTCAGTGGACGCAAGGGATGCCTCGCTCCGCCTGCACAAGGAGTCACCTCTCAGTCCCTCACTCTCCCATGTTCCGACACCCCACAGCATCCTCTCACCTCCATCAAAATCTGCTGGGCCTCCAGGGCCTGCTGCAGCAGCCTCCTCCTCTGTGCTGCCTCTGTCTGCAGGTGCTCTAGAGCCACCTCCAGCTGCTGCACCCGGGCAGCCACCTCTTCAGCTGCAAAGTGTCCGGCCTGCACAAGTTTCTGACCTGTACCCATCACCACCTGACTCAGAGCCTTGTGGCTACTGATCTCGTTCTCCAAATTCTGCAATGGAGGAAGGACCAGGGATGTACTAACAATTGGGGAACCCACACCCTGAGTTGGGCCTAATGATCCTACAGACTTGTAAGGAATCCCCACCCCAGGATTTCCAAAGGAACTAGATGTTCCCCAAAGCAGAGGCTTTGCTGGGTCTCTGTGCCCTGTTCTTGACTGAGAGCCTCCAGCAGCTCCGAGGGAACCCTCTCCAGCCTCCCAGCATGGACCAGAACCTGGTGTTTTTCCTGCAGGTGCTTCACAGTGCTTAGGCTCTGGCCATAGTCCTGGGCTGTGGCAGACGGCAGCTTCTCCTGAACCCAGGCCATCTCCTCATCAGCGTCCCGGAAGAACTGCAAGAGTAGGTGCTGGGCTTCCAGGGCTGCCCGGCGCTCTTGTAGGGGCTCCTGAAGGCTCTGGAACCTGAAAGGGAACCAGAGGAGGTCATGGCCATCCGTGTTAAAACTAGACTACAACACAGTGCTCACCTACTCTATGCCCTAGCAGGAGGCAGGAGGCAGGAGGCATAGGAGGCACAGGAGGCACAGGGGGCATAGGAGGCAGGAGGCATAGGAGGCAGGAGGCATAGGAGGCAGGAGGCAGGAGGGATGCCCCTCCAAGAAGACAGGCAAAGGAGGCCAATGGCATCAAACCAGGGCCCTGGGCGGTCTACCTCCGAAGCAGCTGCTGGGCTCGCTCTTCCACGCCTATGGCGAGGCTGTGGCCTTCCTGAACGTAGGCTTGGGCTTGACCCTGCAGCTCCTGCACTTGCCTGGTCTGACTCTCGACAGTTGCTTCCAGCTCTCCCTGTACCCCCAGGAGCTTGCCCACCCCAGGGAGGTCCTGGCTTTTGACAGGGACTCTCAGCTCTGCTTCCACGGACTCTAGCCAGCTCTCCAGTTTCTCCAGCATCTTCTGTAGATGCAGAGCCTGGGACAGAATGTAAGAGAGTATAAGAGAGTGGGAAGGGGGATGTGTCCTAGAGTCCTGTCCAGTCAGTTGCTTTATAGCCCATAGCCTCACCTTGAGGGCCCCCTGTAGTCTGGCCATTTTCCTCTGGCAGTTGGTCTGGAGCTCAGCCCAGAGGCCTCCTAGTTCTTGAAGTCGCTCCTGGATGGTCTCTGAGGCCGGGTGGCCTTCTTGTAGCAGCCTCTGCCCCTCCTACCATACATTGTACATATATCTTGGGTTAAGGATGCTAGCACCCTTCTTCTCTCTTGGTATCCACTTCCCCTCCTTTTTTCTGTTTTGAGACAGAGTCTCACTACTTAGGCCAAGCTGGCCTCAGACTTGCTGCACAGCGTTCTCTGTAATCTTGAGTACTAGGATGATGGCCTACACACCAGGCTGTCTCTTCCCTCCTTTCTTCCCTGCCCTTTTGTTTGAGACAGGGTTTTGCTCAAACTGCTCAAGCTGGCCTCTAACTCACTACTGTCCAGTCTCAGCCTCACAGTGCTGGCATTATGGGTGGCAAATTTCTTAATCTAAGTCTCTTTGTCCTCTTCCATGCAACAGAGTAGCAATGATATCAGTTAAATGAGGTAACTGAACACTTAGCAAAGAACTTGATATCGGGTAACCAGCCTGAAGTCAGGATTCCTTTCCAGGCAGAGAAGGGAATGTTTAAAACCAAAACAAACAAATAAGCAAATAACAACAAAAAGCAATAGTCTATTTGATATCTTGAGCTCCAGGGCTGTGTCTTATTATTCAAATATACTTTGTATAAAATTATCAGAAAGGTGCCAGTTTTTAAGAGCCTAGCACAGTACCTGCACACAGAAAGCATGCAAAGGACAGCAGTTGTCACAACTATCATTCAAAGCCAGCTGCAGGGGTGCAGGAGCCTAGGCTGTAGCCCCCAAACCCCATGGAACCTCACCATCTGCAGCTCCTGTTGCTGGTGAACACTGGCATCCAGCTCAGCCTGGAAATTCTGCTGCTTCTGCAACTGTGTTTGCATCGTGGTTGGGTCCTGCTGACCCCTGTCCAGAGCCACAAGGTTCTTTTCCCTCAGCCATGTAGCTACCTAACACAAGAACAGGAGGGGCTCTGCTTTCCCAAACCTCCAGAGAGCCCCCAGGAAGGTGACCACCCCAACCCTCTCAGCCAATCAATGGGAACCTCATCGGAATCCTGCAAGAAAGTCCGAAGCTCCTCCAGCTGGCGCCCCCGCACCCTTGCTTGCTCTGTGAGTGCTTCTTTCCTGCAAGAAGAGGGTCTCATATGCGTACATGCGTGTGCGCATGTGTGTAGCCCAGTCTTTCACTATCTGTATCACAATGCCCTGAATCAGGTTTCCTTTGAAACAAAGTCACGTGCTTCCTCTCCACATTAGTGTCACTTATGTTCATGTCTTAACCCTAATCTGAGGACACTAGCTGTATTTGGAGGTAAGTCAGCTGGGATCTGAGAGGACAGATGTCCTTGTATGAGGAGGTTAAGACAGGACACACCCAAAGGGATGGCCATGTAAAAACACGGGAGAAGACTATAATCGAAAGATAGACAGACCTTTCTAACACCTGGATCTTGAACTTTTTGCCTCTAGAATTGTGAGGAAACAATTTTTATTGTTTATGTCACCCAGCCTGTGGCATTTTGTTATAATACTTCAAACTAATACAGTGTCTAAACGTTTTTCTCTTTCTGGTTTTTAATGTGTTAGGGATTGAACCCAAGACTTCATACATGCTAGGCAAGTGCTCTACCACTGAACTGCACCCCAGCCCTCCTTTTGCTTTTTAAACCTTGGGAGTCAGGGTCTCAGTAACTTTCCCATGCTGACCATAAGTTTACTCCACAGTCTAGGCAAGTCTAGGAGTTTTCTTGCCTCGGTTTAGCTGGGATTGCAGGCCTAAGCCATTAGAGCTGTTTTGTTCTTATGCTGTCTTTACATTTTTATTTCATCATATATATGTGTACACATATGCATATATATATTCCCATGTGTCTGTGTGTGCCTGCGCACGTGCAAGTGCGTCATGGAGTGCGTGTGGAGGTCTGAGGACAGCTTTTGGAAGCCGGTTCTCCTTCCCCCATAGGTAACAGCAATAAGTTTGCACAGCAAGTACTTTACCTGCTGATCCATCTTGATAATCCCACCCCCGTTTCTTTTTAAGACAGGGTCTCCCTATGTAGCTCAACTGGGCTTCAGACTTGCTATGCAGCCCAAACTGGCCTCAAAACTCTTCATCCTCCTCTGTGCCCGCCCCCAACAAGTGTGGATTACAGGTGTGTGCAACCATCGGCTTTAGCCACTTTTTTGATTGCTGTAAACAAGAGTCCTTCACAAACACACACACACACCATTTTAATACTTAAGACAGTTAAAACATTTGCTATATGAAGCTACATTATGTATTAGTTTATACATTCCATATATATATATATGTGTATATATATATATATATACACCTTTGAAGCAATGTATGAAAAGCATTAGCAGATGCACACAGCATGAAGTTCTAGCACCTCCATCCCATGGCCCACAAACAGTTCCTCATCAGCTTTTCCCCTTCACTGGTGTTAACCAAAGGACATGGAGCTGGGGGAAACTAGAGGCTAGGTTGAAGTTGAATACCCTCCTGAGTATGGCACAAGCCTAGGGAGACGGAAGGGGTCAGTGCATCGTGCTGGGTTGAGTAGGCCTGCAGGAACCACCTAAGGAAATAGAACTGGCAAACTAACTTGCTGTTTGTCCACTCAGACCTCCATGGGTAGTCAGAGACATCTACCTGCAAGAATGAAGAGGGCTGGGGCCTACGGAGCGGCTCAGCAAAAACAGAGGACCTGGGTTCGATTCCCAGCTCACAATCACTTAAAACTCTGGTTCCAAGAAATCTGATGCCTTCTGCTGGCCTTTGGAGGAACCAGGCAAGCACGTGGTGCACAGACATACATGCAGGCAAAACACCCACACACATGAGATATAAATAAACAAACAGTAAGTAAACAAGAGGGGCTATACTAGCATGCTCCTGTCCCTTCCGTGTCATTAAGTCACTTCCTGTCAGTTTTCTAGTGTGGGCTTCTTAGTGGATGAGGCTGGGATGAGGGAATTGGATGCTGTATATTGTCTGATGGAGACTAGGCCAACACACTGCCAGGCCAGGAGTGGTCGGTACTCCCAGCATCGACCCTAGGCTTTGGAAAACGCTAGTAGTTGGGCCAAGGGGTTGAACAGGAAGGGAAGAGCTTGGGTAATAGATGTCCAAGCTGGCAAACCCCAGTTCCCATTATCCCAGAGCCATAGGTACCTCAGGAGTAGGGCCTGGCACTTGGCCAGGATGCTGTGGGCCTCAGGATGTCCACTCAGGTGCAGGCCATGGGCTGTGGCCTCCAGTGCACTGATCTCTTCAGCCCTTGCCTTAAGCTTCTGCTCATGCCTCTTGTGCTTTGACAGAAGGGTCTCCACAGAGGACAAGGGGCCCTGGAGGAAGTGGGGTGCTGACACTGACTGTAGGGCTGCCCCCATTCCAACCATCTGCTTCCCTCTAGAACCCCTTTCCACAAGTGATTGTGCTCCAAAGGCATTACTCAAACCCCACAAGGCAGTTTCTAGCTTTAGGTTAGAGGAGACAGTATCTGTGTCCATTTCCAAGGCAGGCTGAGTGCCTCCCTCTCTCCTCCACACTCTAAGACTGTGTCGGCCTGATTAATCTCCCAGGTCTTTGTGAGTTATGCTTGTCTGTTACTGGGGTTGAGGTGGTGTTGGAATGAGGACAGAGGCAAGGAGAGTGGTAGGAGAGCGATCCAAGGGAATGACCAGCCTGACCATAAGCTCACACCCTTGGCTGCTCAGGCACACCCTATGGGCCCTACCCAGGGCAAGGAAACTTAGGACTGATGGTAACTGCTCAGGAGTGGGGAAGACCCTGATCAAGAGAGTGCTATGGTTCTGACTAGCTTGACTCCCTCATCCATCCCTCCCCACTCCTGCTGGGCACTTACCGCCAGTCCCTCACTAGGTAGGGAGGACTCCTCACTGTCTAGCCAGTGTTCCACCTTTTCCAGAGAGCTCAGAAGTAGCTGGTGAAAAAAGACAAGAGAGAGTCAGGAGAGGGCCCCGTGACTACACAGCATGTATGTGACTTTTCTGGTGGTTCCGGTTGGAGAACCAGGGGCTTGACTCCATGGTATAGGAGCAGGCTGAATGGGAGTAATACCCAAGGAAGGCAGTCCGCTTAGCTTTGGCCTTGATCAGGACTGTGGAGATATCACAGGTCCTGATAGTGGGTAAGGCTGGAAGCTGGCCTGGGGCCCACCTGCTGCTCCAGGGCCTGCTGTAGTTGCTGCTGCCGCCTCTGCCATGATTCCTCCAAGCTACTCAATTCCTGCTCCACAGCAGCCAGGGCCTGTTGAATCCCAGAGGCCAGCTGGTATCCAGATGCAAGCAGCTGCTGCCCCATGCCTCGGGCCAGCCTAAGGCTGTCTGTCTGAATGTCCAGCTCGACCTGTAACAGTCCTGAGATCAGTACCCTGTAGGCTGAGGCCTATCAGGGTTACCAGAGGTCCAGCAGGAAGGACAGGGGAGGATGGAAAAGTACAAAGGCGGTCGGGAGACAGAGAAAGGTACCAGTCGGGGGTCACAGGAGGGGGGGGTAAGTGAGGGGTGACATTTGGAAGGCCTAGCACCTTGGGACTGCGGCTCACCTTGTAGGCCTGGTGCCCTTGCAGCATGTACTGGGTTCTCTCGGGGCTGCAGGGGGGTGCCCCGCATGTCCGCCTCAGCCTTCAGTCCCTGTGCCCAGTCCTGCAGATCCCGCAGTAGTGTCTGGAGCCTCCACGCCTTGTGGCCCACATCCAGGGCCTCCCTCCTGCTCACAGGACTCCTTAGTTAGTTCTAGGATCATGGAGCCTCCTCTCCCGCAAGCCCAGTATCCTTTAACCCCCTCCGCACAGAAAGTCTGTGGTCTGGGAATTAATTAGTAAATGGTACAGAAACTCAAGAGAAAGAAAGAGGGGCCAAGGGGAAGTGTGTGGTCTGAGAACCGGAGGGGACCATTCAGCAAGAGCTCATACCACTTCTGGGCCCTGCTCCAGACCTTCCTCCAGCTGTCCATCATTTCTTGTTGCTTAGGACTGAGGCTGTGGGCAAGCTCCGGACTCCTCTTGAGGAAGTGGCCAACCTTGCCCTCAAGAGACTGTAGGAATAAAGTCAGGGCTGGGCAGCAGGGACCGGGCTCCGTGGGTCTTAGCACCTGCCTCTCAAGAGTCCACCAGGTCTCTGGAGGATGTACCTAGGGCCTGGACCCCAACTGCACACCTCCACCTGAGTCTGGATGAGGTCCATCCCCTGCTGCAGCATTCTCTGTTTCCATGGTAGCCTCTGTACATTCTCCAAATCCTCTGTACTCTCCAGGGCCTGGATCAGGGATTCCTGGTAGGGGAGGGGGGAGCCATTACAGGCAGAAGACTGGCCACCTAGGGTGACAGTGTAGAATGCAAGCATCTTCAAGAATCCCTTCTTGTCCACTGAGTGGGACTGGAGCAGGTCCCTGGACTTGACTAGGGGCATTTCCTCCTAGGAAGGACAAAAGAGTCCTGGGCCAGGACTTTGGGTCTTGACTTTCCTCTGGTAAGGTATGTGTGGTGCATCCTGGCATTTTGTCTCTTTGACTCTCATCTCTCTGGGGAGGGATCTCAGAGGACAGAGGCCTGGGTTAGCTGTGAGGGCAGGATGCAGGAGAAGAGGAAGCTGTCCCTTACGGGACTTCTCAGGTAGCAGTGGCCTTGTGTGCACTTTAACCAGCTTTCAGTCCGCCTGTGTCTCTGTGGGAACGGACACCATCCTAAGTCAAACCTCTTCTGGGCTTTAGACTTGCTTAGGGTCAGGGAAAACAGGAGTGTTCTGGCCTCTAAACCCATCACATATCTGGAATAGAAGGAGGCTTGGGAGCTGTAGAGGTGTGGGGGTGAGGGGGTTGTAGTACAATTCTCATCAGTTCCCTGGTAGACTCCTGGCGGAAACCAGCTGAAGAGCAGAGGTGGGCCAGGGGCTGGGGTCATGGGAGACTCAAGGCGGCGTCACTCCCAACTCAGTGACAAGGGGACTTTTCACTACCTACCTTTTCCCTGATCTGCTCAGTGATGTCATCCAGTTCACTGGACAATGTATGTATCTCCAGGGCCGCTTCAAGTCGCTGCTGATACAGGAGCAGGTTGCCATGGAAAGTTTTCCACCTGACCAAAGAATGGGGGTGAACCTTGCAGCCCGAGGTGTCACCTGGCCCCTCCTCCGGCCTCACTGCCCTCCCCAGTCTGAGACTGGCCTGCTGTTGAGCTGGTTTTGCCGCTGGCAGATGGTCTCAGATTCCTCAGGGCTCTGCTTCTTGAGCTGCAGTGACAAGTTTCTGATTCTCCTGATGTAGGTGTCATCCACTGTGACCTATCAGGAAGGTGAAGGTGTGGGCACTAGCAGCTACCTGTTCAGGGCCGCTTATCGGAATAGCTGTTAGTGCTTGTCCCTTGCAAACAGCCACCATCTCGGGGAGTTCAGCTGTGTCTCTTGCCCAAGATCATCCCAGCTGGGCCTGTTAACTGTTTATACTCCCCTGTGGATGGGGGGGAGGGCCACAGGCCCCTCACCTGAGTCTCCAGGTGCTCTACAGCGTCTGGTGTATGTAATCCTGCCTTAATTGCACGTGGCCTGGGAGAAGCTAGGGTGTGCATGCGTGGGAAGAGCGTGGCAGGGGATCTTTCAGAGCTCTCATCGCTTTTGGGTAAGGCTTTGCAGCTTGTGTGGGGAGGGGTACTCACATTCCTGCATCATGCTCCCTAAGGAGCCCAATAAACCCCAGAATGAACTGTCTCATGTCCTGGTTTGTCACTGGGGCCTTGGGAAAGGGGTAGATGTTGTTTATATTTATCAACCACAGCACATTTGGGGAGTGGGAGGTGCTGGAGGCCACCCCCTCAACTCCAGTAAGGAAGACCAGCCTGGTATCTACAATTTTTTTTTTTTTTGGTTTTTTGAGACAGGGTTTCTCTGTATTGTTTTGGAGGCTGTTCTGGAACTAGCTCTTGTAGACCAGGCTGGCATCGAACTAACAGAGATCCGCCTGCCTCTGCCTCCCGAGTGCTGGGATTAAAGGCATGTGACACCAAGGCCCGGCCTGGAATCTACAATTTAAATGCGCTTCTCAGAATGAGGACTGGGCAGGCAGGGGAAGGTGGGAACAAACTCACAAGTAGTGTTTAAAGCTAAAAGTGGGGCTTGAACACAGGCAGGCTTACAGGTATCAGGAAGGAGCCCCAGCAGGGTGGATGGCAGGCTTCCTGCTCCCGACATTGGAACATTTAACTCAATCCTACAAGCACCTTCTATGAAGCGGTTCCTCTGAGAGGTGATCCCAGAGCACAGCGGGAGCTCAGAGGGCCATGGTGCTCACTTGTGGCAGACCAGGGAACAGCATCCATCCAATGCCACCACCAGCGAAGGATGTTTTGTTTGTTGGGTTTAAGACCGCAGCCTTTACTCAAATCCCACACACCTGTATCAAGGCTAACACACGCATCAAGCTGACCCACAGGTGGGTTAGCACGCTCTATCTTCACCACCTGACTATGTACGTATTTGCCATTGTCCCCCCTCCCCGTACTATAGAAATAGATTCCTGGTGTGTTTGGTCAGTGGCGTGGGTGAGGAGATGCTGAACTACTCACACTGAAGGAAGGCATAAGGATTACCTACCACATCCAGGCATAGGTTGTATTTTTTTGGGGGGGGAATTTTGAAACAGTAGATTATGATTACAATTCTGTGTAAGTTCAGAAAATTGCACTGGCTCCATGCACCTCCCCTTCCTGCACTGGCTCCATGCACCTCCCCTTCCTGCACTGGCTCCATGCACCTCCCCTTCCTGCACTGGCTCCATGCACCTCCCCTTCCTGCACTGGCTCCATGCACCTCCCCTTCCTGCACTGGCTCCATGCACCTCCCCTTCCTGCACTGGCTCCATGCACCTCCCCGGCCTCTTATCATAACATTGAAACCAGACTACCAATGTTTCCAGCAGAGGCATAATTTTATGACAGGTGTAGAATCATGTGACCACCACCACACACATGCACTCCCTCACCTCTGAGGAAGACATGCTACTCATTTTAGAGATGAAGAAACTAAGATGAGGGAACTTGCCTAGCTGTATCAAAGTAGTGCAAAACTGAGCTTGAGCCGTCTCTGGATTCTGGAGTCCATCAGACAAATCTTCCAATGACAGACACTGTGTCAACCCCTCCTGAACACAGCCTCTTACCTGTAATCTGTGGACCTGTTTGCAGAGCTGCAGGCAGTGCTCAAGGTTCAAGCCCATGTCACCACTGTTCACCATCCTCTCCTGTGAAGGCCAAGGGTGGGACACAATGCTCAGCACCTGTAGCTGGGGCACTGTCAGGGCAGGTGGAGGCTTGGGACTTCCCACCAAGGCTCCTACCATCAGGGAGCCAGAGAACTACAGGGCTGGCTCCTTCCCACCCCACCCTTTAGCTCCTGTCCCCCACCCCCACCCCTAACCCCCAAATGCCCTGCTCAGCGGAGCCTTCACCTTCTCCTGGATCCAGGCCTCTGCAAGGTCCACTCCCTGTAGGAACTCCAGGAAGCTGCGTCTACCCTCCAGGGCCTGGCCCTGCAGAGTCACTGTCTGCCTCAGCTTCTCCCAGAGCTCCCACAGGGTCTTGAGCTTCTGGGAGACCTCTCCAGTCTGAGGGTGGCTCTGTCTGAGGAGCCCTTCACCTTGCTAGAAGACGGGAACAGGGGTGAGCTCAGCACCTCTCATCTGAAACCTTGGCAATCAACACTTCAGAGTAAGCTAGGCTGAGGCTGGGGTTACCTTGGTGACAGAGGTGATAACCTGCTCATGGGCCTGGACTTCAGCCTTGAAGGCTTGGTGTTTCTGCAGGTACTTCAGATGGTCTTTTAGGTTTCCAAGAGGGCTCCAGGCTCTCAGTTGCTGGACCCGCTCCTGGATCCAGTCCTCAACCTGGTAGGAATGGGGCACAAATGTTATGATGCTCATCCTGAAGCCCCCAACTCCCCTTCAGCTCCCACTCCACACTAACAAAGTCCAGGTGGTTGACTACTGGCCTCCGGCAGAACTAGGAGAATCCAGTAAACAAGGACCACGGTTCTAGCCCAGGAAGCCATGCTGCAGGCCAAGCTGAGCAAGGAACTTGAGTCCATTTCAGAGGTGTGAGCCCCCTGTTCCAGGAACCTGTACAGCTACATTCCTCATCCTATAGCTCTTCTTTGCCTGGGCTCTGCCAGTGCTCAGCAAACAGATGACTCTCAGCCCAGAGGGGCTTCAAGTCAAATATTCTGGGCTCCATGGCCCCTAGGAAGCCATTTAACTCTTTAAACCTGTTTTTGTCATCATAGTGTTGTGGTATTAATGCCACCTCAAATGTACTCTTAAGGTTTAGGCAATAGTCAGGGGATGGCCCTCTGACCTGAGTTGCTGCCCTGGTAAAGCTGGCTATCATCAGGGAGGTGTGCAGGGCCTGTCCCCGGCTCTCTGCCAGCGCCTTCACTTGAGCCCGATGTTCCAGCACGCGGGAAACCAGGCTCTGTGCCTTAGGGCTTGGCACAGTTCTCAGCTGCTCACACAGAGATGCCTCCTATGGAACACAGACAGTCTGCTGGTCTGCTCTGGCGAGCTGGCCATTGGCTTCCAGCTCTGCATGGCTAAGGGTTGGCTGATGCCCCTGGCAATAGCCAGACCACTCTCCATTCGGTGACTTCAGACTAAATAAATGCTCCCTGGGGCCCCCGCAGTGTGGAGCATCCCAGCCTGGGTCTTTTCTTGAGCCATATGTTCAATGCTACCCCTAGTCCCACAGACATACCCGCACTGTTTCTGGGCACACACCCAGCCACCATACCCCTCCTGAAGACGCCCCCATCATCATGTTCAGGATCCCAGCCCATCACCTTCTTGTCCTGGAGAGTGAGTACTTTTTGGAAGATCACATGCTTTCTGATCAACTGTTCCACCTCTTCCCCCGAGCTCCCCAGGGCACTGGCCTTTAGGAATGCCTAGATGAGTATGTGGGAAGGTCAGAGGTACAAAGGCGGCCAGCACCATCTGCAGAGAGTAGAGGCCAGCAGCACCTCAACCTCTGACAAGGTGAGATTATGAGCAATCTCTGTCGAACTCCATGGGTCTCAGTCCAGCGTCAAGGCCGGGGAAGAGCAGGGCTAGATCTGGCCTGGGGGTGCTAGTGGAGGTCATGGTCCCCTGGTGACCCACAGCCCCTATGCTCCATGTCCAAGAAAAAGGCCAAGACTCAGAAGGAAGGAGGAGGGAAGAGTCGGGGCTACAAGACCTGCCTCCTGGGCTGTGAGGATCTCTGACAGGTGATCACATTGTCTGAGGAGGCGCTGTTCTTGGAGCATGGCCTGCAGCCTCTCTTGCTTGAGTGTCCAGGCCTTGAATAGCTGGTCACGTTCCTCCTGTAGGGCTTGAAGCCCATCCTGGACCTGAAGATGAGAATGCAGAAAGCTGGGGTTGTGGATGGCCATTAAGAGATCCTTGGAGAAGAGGCGGTGGGGGTGGGAAGGAGACAGCCCAAAGGAGGACGGGGTAGGCTGGGAGTGTGGGGAAGGCGCCCACCTCCCTAGTGGGTGTCCCTGCAGCCAGAAGTGCTTGCTGGCCTAGCTTAGTGGCCCTCTGCTGCAGCTCCTCCCTGGCGTCCAGTTCTGCCCGCAGCCATTGGTGGGCTCTGAGCCTGAGCAGGCTGTTGCCGGGTTCCCAGGAGCCCTCCATCTGAAGCTCCTGATGCATGCTGGCCACCCAGGAGGTGTAGTCCCTCACCTGACCCAGGAGACAACAGAGGAGCCCGTGAGAAGGCGCTGGCAAACAACTGCAGTCTGCCTGATGCATGCACATACAGAGACATCAAGCTGTCTGACACTTCTGGTGACTCACAAGTCTTTGTCACTTGGTTTCTCTGTCATCATCCAACCCAGTCCTTCCAGGATCCCAGGCCCTTGCTTTTGCCCTTTCTGGCCACGCTTATTTCCCTCAAGAACTCGAGGGCCTCAGTGCATGTGCACATCTGAGCACATGTCACCCCTCCCAAGGGGAGAAAGCCCTCACCGCCGCGTGGAATCGGAGCAGGAGGTGTGCTCGCTCCAACTGGGCCCTGCGCTGCTCCACCTGCAGCTGGAGGGCCTCCCAGGCTTGTGCCACAGTTTGCTGCGTCTGCCGGACAGTGGCGAGGGCCTGAGGACCTGGACACAGCTTCTGCACCCTGCCCCCAGCCTTCAGCAGTTCCTGCAGCTGGCAGGTAAGGGGTAGGAGAGGAGAGCAGTTTCTTCACAGTGTTCAAGCCTGGGAACTTGATGGGCCATGCTCTGCCAGGCAGGGCAGGCCCAATGGGAAGAACAAATGGGCCAGACCGGAGGGTCTGTAGGGGCCTGAGGGGCAGTGCCAACAGCCTCCTTACCCGCTGTCCCATCCCTGCCAGCTCACGTCCCAGCCCCTCATGTCTCCGCAGCTGCCTCTCTAATCCATGCAGGTCCTGGGCCACATCATTCGGGAGGCTTGTAGCTTTCTCCTAGGGTATAAAAGGGTCACAGCAGGGTAGGAAGGGAGGGTGGGGGCACTGAGCCCAGAGAGCCACTTCTAGAGTTCATACCTGAATCTGAGTAAGGACTTCTAGAAGGTCTCTGTGGACTCTGAGGGTGGTTTCTGTGCCATGGAGCAGGCGGCTTTGGGCACAGGTCAACTGCCACAGTTCGGACCAGGCAGCCCTACCACACAGAAGAGCAGTCACGCGTCAGCCTGTGTTCCCGCCCTGGTCTGATCTCTGAGTGGAATCCATGGGGCTTTCCCTTTGAGTCTTCTGCATCCTACACTTTGCTCCCTTCCCCAAAGCCGCTCTAGCTTCACAGGGAGTGTCACCGTGAGCTGTCTGTCATCCCAGCACTTCCCGTCTCTCTCTGTTCTAGCACCACTTCTATCGTTTGTGTCTGATTTTCAGTATGCTGATCCATCCCATTTGTGGTGGTTTGATAGGAATGCCCCGCCCCCCACAGACTCATGAGTTTGAATGTTTGGCCTGTAGGGAGTGGCACTATCAGGAGGTGTTGCCTGGTTGGAGTAGGTGTGGCCTTGTTGGAGGAAGTATATCACTGTGGGGACGGGCTTTGAGATCTCATATGCTCAAGCTATTCCCACTGTGAGACAGTTCACTTCCTGCTGCCTGTGGATCAGGATGTAAGATCTCTCAGCTCCTTCTCCAGTCCCATGTCTGTCTGCACACCACCATGTCCTGCCATGACAATAATGAACTAAACCTCTGAAAGTGTAAGTCAGCCCCAATTAAATGTTTTCCTTTATAAGTGTTGCTGTAGTCATGGTGTCTCTTTACAGCAATAGAAACTCTAAATATGGTACCATTACAAATGTCTTGAGCAGTCCCTATCTTTCCTCCATTTCCCCCTTTACATGCTCTCCCTGTGCTCAAAGGCTTCTTCCAGGCTAGGATTTATGCTAAGGGTCATTAGAAGATCTGACCTCACCTTAAGCTCACAGGCTAGAGAAGGGCCCATACCAGTAGGTAGTAGACCTAGAAATAATGCATGGGAATTTGAAGCTCAGAGCTCATGGGGTGGCCTCCTCTCTCTAGCTCACATAGTTTCTTTCTACAGCTCCTCCTGCAGATCCAAGGAGGCAATAACTGGGAAAAGTGTCCCTGGGAGGCTGGGAGCATCTGGTTGGTCTCTCCAGCCTTATTTTCCATCACAGAGCACAGTGGAAGCTTTAGCATCTCAGGGACCTTGCCCTCTCTAACTGAGCAAGCAGGGTCCTGTGACTCGCAGAGTGTGCCACCCTTTGTTAACATTCCAAGACACTGGGCCAGCACCCTCCTCTAAACCTAGACCGTTGCCTGGGCCATCACTCACCGCAGATCCTGCTGCCTGTGGTGGGCCTTGGGGGCAGCACTGTGCCCACACTCTAGCAGGCTGTCTGCCAGCTGCTGACAGGCCTCTACTCGAAGGGCACCAGCTTCAATCTGGTTCTGAAACTTTGCAAACTCAGTGCAGAGTTGCTGAGGAGAGAGGGGAGTAGATGACAAGACAGCCCTAGTCCAGGTACTCAGTGACAAGGTGGAGTTGTATGACCACAGTACTGGCACACTCCACCCCAAAGGCATATCCCGTGACTCTACCAGGCCTTCTCCATCCAGCCCAGTGCGACTAGCACCGTCATCCGGCATCTGCCTCACGTGTCTTCCCTGTTCCTAGCACCTCACCAGCACATGCTCATGGTCCTCTCCAAAGTCGTCCCCTCCTCTGGCCACCTGCTTCCAGCTGGCCAGCCAGCTCTGCAGATCCTCAGCTTCCCTCATGAACTCATGTAGCTTCAGGGTCCCTTCCAGCTCCTGGCCCCTGTGGTGACAGCCAGGGGTTCCTAGATGTTAGCTGCCTACTCATCCCCCTGGCCCCAGGGACCTGAGGGCAAGGGTGCTGAAGAATAGAATTAGTCATGATCTTTGCCCAAGCTTGAGTTGAGAAGAAGACATAGTAAGGCCAGAGTAGGGGACAGAGAATGTTGGCAAGAGATGGAGAGTTGGGAATTGGGGGCTCAAGTTCCTGCTACGTAGGTGTTTACTGAAGAACTTATAGTTAGGAAAGCAATGCATAGCAAAAGTTCAGCATCCTAAAGGCCTGAGTTCCCACCATGATAGGGTCATGGCAGGGGATGGTAGGCTGTGCCCATGGATGAGGGTCCACAGTGCCCCTCACCTTGCATCTGCCAGCTTCTGTAGTGCCTGCAATTGCTCCCGGACTGTACCCAGCTGCTCAGAGGCCTCAAATCCAGGGAGGGTCTGGAATCTCTGCTCAAGATCCTCCACAGAGCTCCAATAAAGAGCTAATTCCTGCTGCAGCATCTGCCAGCATAAGAACACAGACAGGGGGTTTTCAGCTCTCTGTATATCTACCCCCAACACAACCTACACATTCATCCCCCCAGGCATTCATTCAACAACTCACACACTCATCTGCTTAGCTCTCAGCTCATTCACTCACCAATATACTCATCCATCTACCTACCCAGCCGCATTCCATCCACTCAGCTTCACCCACCCACCCATTACCTACTTACCCAACACTGCTGACACACTTACTGTTTTACAAAATGAAGATATGCTCTCCACCCTAAGAGGGTTCACTACTTAACTGGAAAGAGTACAGGTGGGAAGGCTGGGCCAAGGAAGGGAGGGTACTGGAGGCATCATGCTGGACCACAATAGCAAAGTGTAAAAATAGACCCATCCGAGCAAGCCTCTCTGCATGCTTGCTTGGCACATGGAGGCTACATGAGGACAAGCCCGCAGGCATCGCCTTCAGGAATAGCTCACTGAAAATCCTCACCCACAAGACACCACAAAACAGAGACCATTGAGGCATGCAGGGAAGCATCCTGACAGGAGGACATTTCCATGACAAGAAGCAGGGTGCAGTGCGGCCGAGGCTTTGGAGCTTGATGATCTAGGAGTCCACTCTGTCCTCCCTCCCTCCTTCCTACCAGGGACACTTGCCGGAGGAGATGGGTTTTAGGATGGCGATTGGGTTAACAAACAGGATGATGTTCAGAACCCTAGAGAAGGACACATGTGAAGGACAGGGGTAGGCTGAAGCAGGTGGTTCTGAGGAGTAGGAAAGTGCTGGGAAGGAGATGAAGCAAGAGGAGACAGAGGCACCCCAAGTCTGCATGAAGGGTCGAGTCCAGGAGGGTTACAGAAGGTAAACACACTCCTGAGCCACAAGGCTGGGGCTGTACTGGCAGAAGCGTGTGCTCGGGGAGGAGGGTGAATCAGGACTTGGATGGGGCTAGCCACATGTTCAGGAAGGAAACAGCAGGCCAGGACTCAGTGTCTCAAGAAGTACGATGTGCCCTTTGGAGTGTGGCACACCTCCTCGTGGTCTACTGTCGCTCACATAGAGATGCTCAGGACGCAGTACCTGGTGTTTCCTAAGGAACGCAAAGGTGGCTGCATCATCGCTGCCATATTCCTGACTGCTCGCCAGAGGCCACTTTTCCTGCACCCAGGCCTCTATTTCTGACACCTTCAGAAAGTACTGCAAAAAATGATGTTGACTCATCTTAGTGATCTTAGCTGAAACTTCCATCACCTGTCGTGGTCACGGGCAGCCAGCGGAGAGGCTTCTGGATCCTTACTGGAACCAGCTAACTCTTCACTGGCCTCGCTCCAGCTTCCACTGCTCTGCAGACCTCACCTTCTTTGCTACCCACCTGCTGGACAGTGACGGCCTGCTGCAAGCGATGGGCACGCGCCTCACAAGCCTGCTCCAGCTCTGCCCAGTGGCCTTCCAGCTTCTGGCACTGCTCCACAATGTGCTGAGCTTGGGGGTGCCCAGAGGCTGCTAGACTCTCGCCAGAACTTAGTACCTTATGCACGTGTCCCGTGTGAGTTTTCACCTCCGCCTGGAGCACCTATCACAGAACAATGCGATTCCCTTAGCCACAGATATCCAGATTAGAGTCGTGGCTGTCTCTAGGTTCTATATCACCAGGCTAAGGAAAGCTGGAACAAAGTGTATTTGGAAACCAGGACACCCAGGGAGAAGGATTTAGAGGCCAGGATACCATGAATAGTGTCAGGGGGCTTCTAATTTTTGGGAGCGAGATGTGTTGGGGACCCTGGGAGGAAACAAGTGACACTACCTTGTGCTTACGTTGAAGGCTCTGGGCATCATGCCAGCAATGGGCAAGGCAGGTGGGACTGGTCCTGGGCATATGCTCAGCCACCCATGTGAGCTCCAAGTTGCTAAGGCAGTTAAATTGGTACAGCTCAACTGATGCCTGCAGTTGCAGGCGCCGGGTGGCCAGCTTGCTCTGCAGGGACTTGAACCTGGTAGAAGGAGAAAAGATAAGGAGGCTGGGGAAAGAATAAAGACAAGGTCATAGCCCTTTCCTCATCCCTACCAGGGACCCATGAAGAACAATGTCAAGGCCTGGGGGAAACCTCTGAACCCCTCCCACCCCAGAATGACTCTGCTCAGAAAGGAAGAGGTTTGGACGCCCTGGGCCCTGTCGGTGCCGCTCAGCCCCTTAGGTCCACAAGCTGTGTGTGGAGGGGAAGCACGGCCTCAGGCACAGTGGAGTGGCCACCTCTGCTGACACTTCTGGCTCTCCTCCAGGATGGCCAGGGAAGTGAACGCATGGTGGGTCTGACAGATGAGGGCAGCCATCTTGCTGGCCAGCGCCTGACTCTTGTCCTCTAGTCGACAGTGCTGTTTCTGCAGCCTCAGGCTGTCGCACAGGGTCTGTCCTGTTTCTGTACTCTGCAGGGCTCCCTCCAGATGCTCCAGCATTTCCCTGACATCCTGGAGAGTGTGACAAGAGAGTATTCACCTTTCCACTGAGGCCCAGTAGGCAACCCTGCTGGGGCTCTAAGTCCACAGTGCTCCTAGCCCCAGATTCACCAGGGACCAACCCATCGTGGCCTACCAACTAGTATTGCGTAAGCCGTCCCCTTATGCACCTTCCTCTCTGGAGGACTCGAGTTGTGATAATCATGTGCTAGACACACAGAAATTACTCTTGTGGTGGCCTGCTACTGGGCAAAGCCATGCTTAGCTTACTCTGGGCCAGAGCTCTGTACAGGACTTCGTGGGGCCACTCTGTTCTGCCTGTTCCCATCCTGCCCCAGCTAAGTCCTTGTCTTCTTCTGTGTCCTCACCCCTATCCCACATTCCCCAGGGACCTGCAGTAGCTCCATGAGCTGCTCCTGCTGTCTGGTCTGTTGCAGCTTGTCCCCTTGCTCTGCCATCCTGTGATGCAACTCCTCCCACTTGTGATTCAGACCCTGAAGTCTGTCCTGTATGTCCTCCTGTGCAGATGGGTGGCCACGCAACAGCTCTCTCCCAGCCTGGAGTGGAGATAAAGGTCCGTCCATTTTGCTGCTAGGACCACCACCAACTGCATTATGCTGCACCCATGGGCAGGTTGCTGGCTACAAGTGCTTTCCCCTAGCTTCCTGGGATGGTGGTAGCTTTCTGAGCCGATTTGGGTGCCTGTCTAGGGGGACACCCAGCTAAGTGAAGGAGGCAGAGGGGACCCTTCCTTCAGTGACTGTGCTCTACAGAAATAGGCAGAGCAGTGCGTGCTGGGGGATCGGAAGACAAGGGGTCCAGCATCCTCACCTGCCGGAGGTCCTCCATGTACCCACGGGTAGCTAACAGCTCCCTCTTAGTTATTTTGTGCCACTTGAGTTTCTGCAGAACGTTACAGCATGCTTGGGAGGGTTCATCGGCCACCATGGACCACTTCTCCTGCATCCACAGCATTAACTGTGCCACAGTTTGCTTCCATTCCTGCCCGAGAACCAGGAGACAGTGGGTCTCAGGACCCAGGGTGAGGGGCGGCACACCTACCTCCAGGGAGAAGGGCCATGTGGGGGAAAACAAGACCCAGAGCCAGTTCTCAGGTACAGGGGAGGTAGAGCTTGGATTTTTCTGCTCCCCAGATGAGTCAAGGACACTGTGCCCAGAAAGAGAAATGCCCGTCGGGTTCCACTTCTCTGGACCACACCAGATCTTGCGTGATTCTTGATCTAAATAGGTTGATGTTCTTGGAGGCCTGGCTTGGCCCTATGGCCTGAACAAGCATCAAGGCTAAGGTCTATAGCTACTTCTCTTCACCCATGCAAACCTCTGGTTTGTCAGAAGTGAGTGAGGCGGGTGGTTAGTCAAGGGGTGCTTCTCTGAGAAGTACAGTGACCACAGGTCCAGTGTCCTCTTGGAAACACCCACGGGTGGGGAAAGTGCTCAGTAAGCAGGATCCTCCTGCCTCAGTGTAGCGGTGGGCTCTTGGACTCTGCTTCTGGGGATGTCTCCTGCAGTGTGGACTCACTTGCAATTGGAGGGAGGCCAGCAGCTGCTCCCTTCTCTGCTCACTCCTCTCCTGGGCCCTGGTCCACCATGTCTGGGCACTGTGCAGCAGCTCTCTGACCCTGGAGTGTGGGGAGAGGAGACTGCTCTTCTTTGCCCTACCCCACCCCCAGCCCAAGGGAACCCCACTCCACCCAGCCTCAGGGCAGAAGTCTGTCCCAGTGCAGGGAGATTGCAGCAGGCAAATGGCTCACTTGTGCTCAGCAGGGTGTTGCCTCAGAAGCAGCTTCTCACCACGAACCCTCAGGGCCTCAGCCCGAAATCCCAGGGTGCTCCGGAGCCATCCAAAACCCTGGTGCTGCTGCCACAGGTTCTGGGCCTCTCTTAGGTCCTCCTGGTAGAGAGACCTGAGGTCAGGTCATCCTCAGGGCCTTCCTGCCCACCCTGGCTTCTGAGCCCAAGGAGACCAGCTCCCTCTAGGAGCAGTAGGATGGCCTCCAGTTTTACCTCCCTAACTCTTTACCCCATGATTGTCCAGGGGCAGGAAGGCCTCATGGCTGGCACAGGTGGCAATGAAGCTCCCCACTTCTTGGGCAAACCTCTGCAGCTCCAGCCTGTCCCGAAGCGTCTGCTGCCTCTGCTCCCACAGAGCCTTCAGCTGCTGGCCCTGCTGGCCCAGGAACCTTAGGGCACTGGCCACCTCTTGGGACTGTGGGGAGTCCGAGACTGCCACCAGCTGGCCGTGAGCCTCCAATTGCTGCAGCCTGTGTGAAACAACAGACACAGTGCCAAACGATACCTGGCCCTTCTCACCAGCTCATCCAGTCCTTCCTCACAGAGCTCTGAAGTGAGGATAATTGGTTGGTCAGTCCTACTGGTTCCCTTTCTCACAGGACAGCCGTGTCCTGCCTATGAATAAGATGGAATGCAGCAGCTAGGTGGAGTGCCCAGGACCTACATCACATTGTCCTCTATGTGGATGGCTAGTGGCCACACAATTCAACAAAATCACTCAATCCACACATGCCTGCTGTCAAGGCCACTGGAACCTTTGACCCAGAAGAACAGGTGTCCCTTTAGGCTAGATGCTTCCCCTGCATTTTGGAAACAGGTCAGTGGGAGGCAGGAAAAGCCAGCATTTCCTGTAAGCTGCTGCACCCCTAAAGTAGCGATGTGTGTGTGATAAGTGGAAGCCGTGTGTCTGCCTCTCAGGGCCCCCTTGATACCTGTCTGGCTCCTTGGATCAGGGAACAGCCTGAGGATTGTACCTGGTGACTCTATTTGCTCATAAAGCTGTACATCACTTCGGAAGGAAGTGAGGAGTTAGAAATAATAGTCCCATTAGTGGGTCCTGGGCCCTTTGACTGTAGAGGCCAGCGGGATATGTGCTGCTCAGAATGGGAAGTCAGATTGGGGACACCATCATCACACTTGAAGGGGAGTGGCTGGACTGGAACTCAGAGCCTCTCTGGCAGCTCGGTGTCTGGCAGCTCGGTGTCTGGGGGCCATTTCCAAAGTATTCAAGCTGCCTGACGTAGGCCAGGCTATCTCCTGGAAACCTGCCTGCAGTGCCATACTAGATACCAGCCTGGCTCATGACTTCCTTTTATGAACTCAAACCGCTCGTCTGTCCTGACCTCTCTTGCCACAGGCAGGTCTCCTGCTGTAGGCCTCCATGCTTCCTCAGCAGCTCCTGGGCTGAGGCCACGTCCTCCAGCTCCTCTTCAGGGCACAGTTGAGCCCGGATGCCCTCCGCCCACAGCAGCAACTTCTGGCTCTCTTGCAGGATGCCCCGCCGGACCCGAGCCTCAGTCTGGGTGTGGACTTGCTGGGCCAGCGGCCCCTGCACTTGCCTCAGCAGATCCTGCAGCACCAGCACCTGCTCCTGAAGCAGCCAACCCTCTATGGGGCCTGACTCCATCACCCTGCAGGGTGTGGACCACCAGTCAGCACTCCAGGCCTGTGTCTCCCAGTTCTGAATGTCCACCCTACCCCTGGCAAGAAGCAGCATGAGCCTGCAGCTCTCCTTTTTTCTGAGTGTTGGGAGCCAGGTCCAATTCGAGACTTTCTCAGAGGTCCTAATGAAAGGACTCAGAGAACACTAATTCTGTGTCTTTGCCTGGGGTAGACCTTGAAAGGTCCAGTCTGGGGCCTGGGCCTCAAAGGAGTTAAGGTGTCACTTTCTGGGAATCCAGCATCCCCTCTGAAATGCTACATTATCAGTCCTAAGGCAGCTGTGTTACATATCCTGCATCCTCTGGCCGTCATTGTCTGATTTAGGTTTCTACTGACCCTAGCTGTTCTCTCCCTGAAATAGTATACAAGAGTATGTATTTCTTTCTTTCTTTCTTTCTTTCTTTCTTTCTTTCTTTTTGTTTTGATTTACGAGACAGGGTTTCTCTGTATTGTTTTGGAGGCTGTCTGACCAGCCCGGCCTCAAACTCACAGAGATCCACCTGCCTCTGCCTCCCGAGTGCTGGGATTAAAGACATGTACCACCACCGCCGGGCACAAGATTATGTATTTCTTAATAAATTTGTTTGGCATACGGCAGTTTGTGCAAGACCTCCCAATCCCAGCTTTTTTGTCTTGATCTTATCTCCTGGCCCCCTCATTTGAGGCTTGTCATTGAAGAATGACCTGCTGGTCCAGGTCAAGACAGCACATTCTCATGCTGACAGTCTCTGGCTTCTGCCAGCACCCTTCCAATAGCACATGGTGACCCTCTTCCCCCACCCCAGTTCCCGCCCCTTCCTTATTTTATTAGGGCTTCCCCCTGCTCCCACTGCCTCCCTTGTCACCATCACCATCCTAGAGCTGGCCATACTCCATAGCTGTTCTTTGGAGGTAGGAGATCCTCTTCTCCAGTACCAGGACCTTCTGCTGGATCCACTGCAGGGTACCAAGGCTGTCCTCAGAGCCTCCTGGTCCCAGAGCCCTCAGCCTGCCTGTCATGTTTAACAGCTGGGCTTGTGTGGATTCAGACTCCTGTAGAAGACGGCACACCTCCACGCTGTGTGTCAGCTGCAGGCTCTTCTCCTCTTTCAGGGCCTCCAGCCGCTGCCACCTGGGTAGAAGTTACCGGGAGGTGTCCATCACACCTCCCACCCATCCAATGACACCCACCCGCTAGGCCTTAGACAGTGTAACAGGCTTCTAGGCTGGTGGCCTTCTGCCCACTCCTCACTGTCTTCAACACCATCTAGCCTCTCTACCTGGCATGGTAGGAGCACCAAGCCTGGGCCCTGCCCCGCCCGCATTCCCACCCCTTATTGTCACCTCTGGTTCAGGTCTTCCTCCCGTTGTTGGATTTTCAAGGTGTGTCCTGGACATCTCTGCTTCAGTTGTTGAGCAGTGCTGATGACCTCAGCCCAGTGGCCTTTTCCGATGGCCAAGGTCATGAGAAAGTTCTGAGGAGGAAGAGGACCCAGACCCCTGGGAGGCAGGCTCTTCTCTCCATCCCCACTTTGGACCACAAAGGGCTTTGGCTTTTAGACACTCATCCTGCTAGCCTTGGGACGGAAAGCTTGGGAGTCACTAGCCCTCAGAGTGAGGCCTGCCTCCTTGGGACCCTCCCCAGACAGGACCAGAGCAAATGTGAAGCCTGGGGCAAAACAGTGAGTGACAGGGAGGCAGCAGCAACGCCGGGGTGGTGCCAAGTCTGTCTCCACTGCCTCAGCAGCTTACCTCCCATTTGAGCTGTGTGACCTCTAAGTTGTCACCTTGGGGCTGCAACGTTTGCAACAGTGCTGTCTGCTCCTCCAGCCAGGACTGGAGCTCCCTACAGGAGCAGTAGAAGCTAAACAGCGCTACTGCCTCCTCTAGTCGGGCCCTGTGAAGCTGAAGAGGCAGCCCAGGGTCAGCTCACCCACGGGAGGGGAGGGCGCTCAGAGAGGTCCTGGGAGTGATCCTGTCTATCCTAAGCCACTAGCAGGACCAAGTCTTCACTCCACAACCGAACCACATCCACTTAAAACTGGTTGACATCTTGGTCATCATGTAAGCTCCTTTAGAGCAGGGAACATATCGGTCACTGCTTTCTTCCTGGGATCATGTACAGGCTCTAGAACAGTGTTTCTCAACCTTCCTAATGGCTGCCTGTTGCTTTAATACAGCTCCTCATGTTGTGGTGAACTCCTAACCATAAAATTACTTTCATTGCTACTTCATAACTGAAATTTTGCTACTGTTATGAACTGTAATGTAAATTTCTGGCATGCAGGATATCTGATATGTGACCCCTGTAAAAGGATTGTTTGACCCCCCAAAGGGGTCGTGACCCATAGGTTGAGAACACTGCTCTAGCTTATGGTAGGGGCATGATTAACCTTCCATCTCTTCTCTCTCTTCTGGTGCAGGGATTGAATTCTAGGACCTCAAGTATGCCAGGCAAGCATGATTTCACTTTTGTGGGTTTTTATCTTGTGTTTCCCAGACCGGTCATGGACAATTTTCCTACCACAGCCCTTGGAGCAACTGGGAATAAAGACACATGCCACATGCTTAGCGATGGACATTTCTTAAACAAAGAGCATTACCTTTGCCAGGGCCCATAGGTTCTCGTAGTTCTGGCTCAAATGAGCCTGTGCCTGGAGTATGGTGTTGGAGTCTACATCAAAGTCATATTCAGTCTGGAGAGCCACCATTGGGCCTTCCTCTAGAAGGCCCATGACAGACACCACCTGTGCAGAAGGAAGGTAGTGTGTCCACACCTAACTCCCACCAAGTGGCAGGATCTCCACCAAGATGTGGCCTGTGGTCATACCTGGGGTTTCTGTTCTAATTTGTGGATGACGGTCATCCTGCTCTGGCTGTTCCCCAAGTCTTTCAGCTCCCCGATATTCAGGGCCTCTTCTGGAAGCCAAGACACATACTGTTACGAGAGCACAGGACTCAAGGGCTGCCTGGGGTCCCCTCTTGCCTACTCAGCAGCTCACTGCAAGGTAGGTCAAGGTTGTTCGGTACCCATTGCTCCCATGTGCCTGGTCCTGTGTGAAGAGCTTTCAGAGGCAAAACGGCTTGAGACTGGACCTTCCCATTGGGGCTCACGAGCCTCTCGGGACTGCAGAGCTCACAGACCCAGAACTGGCAGGACACTATCTAGGGATATACATAGGTAGGCAAGGCATGTTGTCATGTGAAATAAGTACCATGGGTGTCCGGGGAAAGAAAGGCGGATGATTTGGGTATTTAAAGAGGGCAAGACAAGGCCCACTGGAGTCTGCCAAGAAGACACATTTGCAAAGCCCTGTGCTGGCAGCAGCTGGGCAGGGAGGAAGCACAGGTACCCCTCCCTGTGAAGATGAGCACCCCATCTCTATCTTTCCGTACTCTGTCCCTGGGCAAGTGTGGACAGCAGCAGCAGCAAGCAGACTACTCAGAAAGGGTGTGGGCACTGTGAAAGAGTAGGCACAGACGGGGAAGAAAACAAAGGAATCAGGGGAGGACCCAGAGAACTTCAGACTCCACAGGGCCAGCATGACCATCTCATCTAAACTTCGCTGCTGTGAAAACCGCCTTCCTGTGGCTGTCTAGAAGCAGTTACACGCTGCTCTGAGCAACACAGGGTGTTTCCAGATGATCCCAGTTACTTCTTTCTGCTGAGCTCAAACGGGCCTCCCTGGAACATCTTCCATTTGGTTTTGGGAAGCCCCAGACCCAGCCACAGGGAAGATGTTAACCCTCGTTCCTGACAGACTTCAGGCTTTCTCGAGGGTCATGACCCTGTACCTCTGGAGGAGAAGGGCATCTGCTGGTGTGAACACTGGCTGCCTGTTGCTGCTAGAACTTGGGCCGCACCCTGAGTTTCTCCAGTTGTGTCTCTGTCAAGCCTTTTCCGGTCTTCTGCAGGTCCCTCCTGTACAGGGGGCAAAGGTTCTGCTTAGGTGACCAAGTGGCTCCCCACGTGGCAGAAGGGCCGACTCTAAGCCTCTCCTGCAGTAGTGAGGAAGGACTGAGGGAGCCAGGAGCCAGACCTGGCGCCTCAGACGGGGATGGAGAACACACAGGGAAGAGATAGCGCCGGTGGTTTAACATGTAAACACGGGAAAGGCAGAATGCACAGAGCAGGATGAAACCACTGCACCCTGCACCAAATGCATTGTTATAATGTAAGCACTAGGGGAGAAGCTGCACAGGTGCAGGGTGGGGGAGGGCGTGCATGTTTGCAAACAGCCTTGGACAAGAAATCAAAAGGCCTCTTTGGCAGAGGTCACTGGGTCCTCAGGCAGTAGCTTGCCCCATCTCACCTTGATTAACTTATTTGCAGTGTGGTGGCGTCCTAGAAACTTGCTAATGCATAGATATGTTTTTAAATTATTAATTATGTGATCAGAATAAACACAAAGGAAAAGGGAGAGATGGGCCAGTAAGGTCTGGGAGTACGACTCACTATGTGCAGGCCGGGGTCAAGGTTAGGTGAGGCAATCTTAAAGGGTGCATGGACAGGGCTGGGCAGAGAAAGGGAGAAGGATGTGGGGCATCTTTAGGGTTGTCAAATTAGAGAGCTAAAAGGGACTTCAGGGTGAAGGGCCGTGAAATAAAAGCTGTCTGGGGGAACTTGACTGTGCTGGACAGACTGAGCCAAGCCCAGCTATCCTTGATACCCTTGACTGGTGTACACAGAATTCCAAATGACCCGAGACTGGAGGTGGGAGAGGGGGTGGGGGGATGGGAATGCACCACAAAGACCCTCACTGAGGGAGCAGCGTGTGCCCCACATTTAGTATGGGAGCCTTGAGTCTGAATCCTTTCCAGGTTCAGGAGCGCACCTTGAGTGACACCAGGGCTGCTGCCGCAGCCCGCCCCTGGTCCTCTAGCTCGCGCAGCTCCTCTCTGAAGGCATGCATGCTTTGCTCCAGGACCAGGTGGCGCTGCAGCAGGGCCTCGGCCTCTGCCTGGTCCTTCCCGCAGGATGCGCTTTCTAGTTGCTTCTGACGTAGGAGAAGCCAAGAAGCTGCTTCGGCTGAGTCAGAAAAGTACTGTGTGGAGGTGGGAAAGCTTTGAGAGCTAGCAGGTGCCTGCGCGCCGCGCCCCGCCCCGCCGCGCCCCGCCCCGCCCCGCCGCGCCCCGCCCCGCCCCGCCGCGCCCCGCCCCGCCCCGCCGCACCCCGCCGCGCCCCGCCGCACCCCGCCCCGCCCCGCCCCGCGCCACACGTTCTACCTGCCCAACCAACAGTGCACTTTGCAGCCGGGCGCGCCTCCTTGCGGCTTCAGTCCAGAGCAGCTGCCATGTTCCCAGTACCTCTTCAGCCTTTTCCAGGGGATCTGGCTGTGTCGGGGGCCCTCTGACACTGAGGTTGCGTCCCCTCTGCATGAGATCTGCACACACAGCCTGGTGGCGATGGAGTTCGGTTTCCAGAGCCTAGCAGGGTTATGGGTGAAGAGAGGGAGAAGGTGACACCCGGAGTTCCAAGTCTGACAGGCAAGAAGGTCAGGATGTCGTCAGAGCGAGGGAGTGGACCGACACCTTGTGTTTCCGCAGAGCCGTAGAGATCTGAGTGAGGTCCCGGCCCAGGGCTCCCTTCTCCATTAGCTGTCTGTGCTTCCTCAACCAGGTCTCCTCCTCCTCACAGCTGTGCAGGAACCGTGCCAGCTGCAGGGTCTGCTCCAGCCGGGTGCGTCTGAGGGACCGAAGGGCCATGGAAGGGTTTGGGGAAGAGCGGAGCACAGGGAGGGGTTGGCCCACTTGCATCAGACATGCACCTTAGGCAGGATTTCCCCAGAATGGCTTAACAAGTAAGACCCGAGGCTTGGGGGCTCGGGGTTAGTGTAGAGGAGGTTGCCAGACCAGGATTTTGGCTTGGGCAAGAGACAAAAGCTCCACAGACGGTGAGGAGCTGGGGCAGGCTCTCACCTGGCTCTGACAAGAGACGCGAGGCTGTGGTGAAGCTCAACCAGTGCCCGGGCTTTAGCCTGCAGCATCTGCACACTGGTGCCCTGGGAAGAATCCAGCTGTGCGGTGCGGTGGGCAAGACGGTTCACTTGGGTCCCGTGGGCTGAGACCTGGGCCTCTAGCAGGTCATGCCTCTGCAGCAGCAACGCTACTTCTGCCAGCTCTTGCCCACAGGCTGTGGAGCTGGCCGGCACCTGGCCAGAGAGGTACCCGTGAGCACCAGCAGGTGGGGGGAGAGGGGAGGACCTCTCAGAGTTCAGCTGATCTGCCCACCTGCAGCTCCCCAAGCTGTTCGGTGGCAGCTTCCACCTCCTGCAGTAGGCTCAGCACAGCCCGAGTGTCTGCCAGCTGCCTCCTCTGCTCCTGTAGACACTGCAGGAGCTTCTGCCAGCGCCCGGCGATCTCCTTCTGCCTAGATAACAGGAGGAAAGGGTGAGCTCCAGCAGGCTGGGTCAAGGGAGCTTGGCTGTCCTGGAACAGTGGCACCTCTGGAGCCAGGGTAGGGTATAGATGTGAACAGCTTGGAAGAATATGTTCACAGTCAGATGTCCAGACCATCCCCTCTCTCATGTCTAGTCCCCATCTCCATGGATGAAAACTATCTTTCCAGGTACTAAAACTATACCGGCTCAGTTCACTCTTGTAATCCCTGGACAAAAGAGCAGAGGCCGAATTGCCAGTTTTGAGTCCAGCCTGGTCTATATAGTGAGTTCTGTCTCTGTGAGACCCTGCCTCGAAAGCAAAATAGAAAGTCACATTCAGAATGCCAGCACTTTCCGTCACCCCGCTGCTTCCCACCCAGGGTTCTACGCCGGCTTCACAGTGGGCTCTTTACGTCAGCCTTTACCGCTTCAACCTGCCCAAGCACAGCATTCGGGTGGTCAAAGGCACACAGCTTACAGTGTGTCACTCCTGCTCAAGACCCTGATTTCCTAGCTTTCTGAGGAAAAGAAAAAAAATCAACCAAAATGCGTTTGCTTTACGATTTAAGGCCCAGCTTGACCTCCACCCCTCTCCCTCGTCTGTGACTTGGTCACTTAGCCACCCCCTCCACTGTAACTACGTTGGGGTGCTGTTCTTGCCATTCTCTCTCTCAGGACAGTCTGCCCCCATATATACACGACCAGCTCGCTCATTTCTTTCTGATATTTGATCAAAAGCCAACTGGCATCCTCCTGCCTTGGCCTCTTATAGTCCCATGTTCTCTCTCTGTGTGTGTCTCTGTCTCTCTGTCTCTCTTTGTCTCTCTGTCTCAGTCTTTCTGTCTGTCTCTCTCCTGAGAACTGAACCAAGGGCTTTGTGCATGCTTCACATATGCTACCACTGAGGTAGACTCCGGATCGTAGTTTTTCGTTTGTTTTTGAGACAGAGTCAGTCTCACTAGGTAGCTCTGGCTGGCCTAGCACAGAGATCCACCTGTCTCTGCCTCCTGAGTGCTGGGATTAAAGGTGTGTATCACCAACGCCTGGCCCCAGCCCTTACTTTTTAAAACTGCTTTCACATACTTAATTGATTTATTTTCTTTCTTATTTTCTTTGAGAATGCTTTAAGCTTCAGGAGGGAAGAGAGTTTTGCTTGCCCACAGCACTGCTAAATGTTTGATGATAGTGTGTAGGGATACAGCAGACATTAAATAAATGCCAGTTTGGTGAGTCTGCTGACTAATGAGAGGCTAACCCGAAAGACCAATGCTTTACCACAGTGTGTAAATTACACCTGGTGTGAATTTGTGCATTTATGGGATTATCTCCTTAGCAGGGACCCTGAGGCCACAGACTACCCCACACACACTCTTCTGTGCATTGTGGGGAGGCTTTAGCTTGCAGTGAGAATGGGTTTATTTGCTTGGAGCTCACCTGCGGGCCACATCTGCCCAGCTGTGATACTGTTCCTGCTGCAGGATGTCTGCAATCTCGCCCAAGGCCTGGAAGCGCCCTTCCTGGGGCAGGATGCTAGCTTCCAACATGAGCAGCCTCTGAGTGGCTGCCTCCCCTGCGGCTGGGTTGACGAGGGAGTCTCGGGCCTGGTCTAGCATCTGCGCTGTCTCATTTAAAAAGCTTTCCCGGAGGGCTGCCTTGCCCTGGAAGCGGCGGGCCAGGGTGTCCAGCCGCTCTAACTGTAGCAGCCTGTGCTGCATGGCCTGGTTCCTGGAGGCCTCTGCCCTCTCTAGGTCTGCCCAGCGCTGAGCCAGTTCTGCAGGGCCCAGGCCCGATCGAGGGAGGTACGGCTTTCGGTTTTGGGCTCGGAGTGTTGTCTGCAGCTGGAAGAGCAGGGCCTCTATGGTTCCTCGCTGCTGCAGCCGAGGTGGCTTTTCCTGGGCATGGAAGGAGGCAAAGGCTGCCAGTAGCTGGCGCATGGCAGGCAGTGAGTCTGGGAAGTCCCGAGCCTCTAGCTGCATCTGCTTCTCTCCGATCCAGTAGAGCAGGTCAGCCACCAGCTGCTCGTATTGAGCTTGCAGTACCTCTGTCTCCCGGAGTTGCAGCAGGATCTGGTGGAGGGCAGAACCCTGGTCAGGCTGCACCTGGGGTGGGCCTCAGAATGAAAGCCCCACCGCTGGGTGCTAAGTGCCAGGCAGAGTTGTCCAGGAGACTGGCTCTCCTTCTCTCGGCTGAGGACGCACAAAAATAACCCCCTCACACTCCACAGAGTGGCAGGGACATGGTACACTCAGACCCACGAGTCTGCAGTACTCTCTCCACAACTGGGCCGAGACCACGCCTTACCTTCCTCCATCGAATTTTGCCCCTTCAGTCTTATTTGTAGGCTGAGGTCCTGAAGGCCATTCTTCCCTCAGCCTTCTCACTCCTTCTTCCCTGTGCCCCCACCCCCTAAATCAGCTCCCAGTGCTTGACCCCACCCCAACATCAGGACACTAACCCTGAGGACAGCCCTTCCAGGTCTCAGACTCTGCCATCGCATCCATAGTGTGAGAGAGCCCCCCAGAAGCATGGACTCAGTGCAGTGCCTGCTCAACAGAGCCTCTTCTAGGCCTGCCCTTGAAGATTTAGCTCTCTAAGCCTTTTAATCCCATTAGGAGCTAAACGGTTTTTGAGGGCAGTGGAGGAAGATGGCAAGAAAGGGTCACTGCTCCCCTGGCTTCTCGTGTGTGCCAGGGACCATGCTAGGTAGCTACTAACACTCCCTTGGACACTCAAACAGCCTGCCATCACGCAGGAGTGGTCACCTCCATGTCACACATGGGGCACAGAGAAGCGAGCCAGTAAGACATAGGGACAGTCAGGCAGACCTGTCCCCTTCTCACCAACCTTAGCCAGCCTCCTCTGGGCTGTCCGCCCCTGGTGCAGGCGGGAGAAACAGTGGTAGTACAGGGACACATAGGTCATGATGGAGCGCTCATCTGGATGCAGGGCCGCCACGTCCTCGGGGTCCAGCAGCTGCACGATGCCTAGCTCCTGCTCAGCCACTCGGAAGGCAGAGGAGAGGTTGTGCAGAGGGTGATCCAGACTCAGAGAGGCATAGTCCAGCAGGTCTGGCCTGAGCAGAGGGCAGGAAGGTTCCTCAGAAGAATGGCCTGCTTTGGTTTCCATTAGCCATCGCTGCTTATTGTGACAATGTTTTCTTCTGATAGTTCTGCCAGCCTCACACTGGAGCATAGACTTGATAGGAAGGAGGGTTAATGTGGCAGAGGGGCTGGGACACACGGTGTAGGGGGGCATCCCCCAAAGAGCAGACACTAGCTAGAGGACAGGAAAGACAGAGCACAGGAAGCAGAGGAGGCCTGGGTCAAAGGCAAAGCTGCCGACTCTGGCCCCTAAGGGAAGGAGGAGGGGCAGGCCCAGAACAGGGATGAGACCAGGCACTCTCCATTTATGGCCTCCCTTGTCCTTCTCTTTCCAGGCCCCTGGGTGCAGAGGGTGTGTGGAAGAGCAGGTAACGTTCCAGCCCTAGGGCTCTGGGCTGAGAGGATGGAGGCTTTTGGGTACCTGTGAGCGTGGAGGAGGGCATTAAAGCCAAGCCCATCACTCCAGCTGCTGGAGAAGTCAGTGATGGTCACATTGGTGTAGCTTGCTGTCTTCCGCTGGCACCATGCCAGCAGGGCTTCCTTAGCAGACAGCAAAGCTGCACTGGCCCCAAACTCCTCCTGGCAGAACAGGGCAGTGTGGTCAATGTGTGTGTGGGGGGGTGGAAGGCATCAGAGCCTGCAGGCTGTAACCAGGGAAAGGCTTTGAAGCCTGCATAGGAGCTTTATTAAGAGTGAAAATGAAAGGCCAGGTGGTCGTGGCGCATGCCTTTAATCCCAGCACTCTGGAGGCAGACGCAGGAACTCTCTATGAGTTCCAGGCCAACCTGGTCTATAAAGCTAGTACCAGGACTGGCTACAAAACTACAGAGAAACCCTGTCTCAAAACAAACAAAACAAACAAACAAACAAACAAAAACAACCCCCTCAAAAGAGTGAAAATGAGAGCTACAGGGAGATATGGGAGTGTGGGGACAATGACAGGGTCACACAGAGACCTTCTGTGAAAGGATGGTAGGGAAGGTCAGAGGAGCCTCTTCAGATAGAGCCTTCATCTTTGGATTAAATCCCCATGCAGTCTTCCTGACGGGTCTCGAACAGACCCCCAGGACAAGGGAAAGGTCTGATTTTTTAAAATAGAACCTTTTAGGGATGGTGGAAGACTGACAACGTGTGACTTAGTTAAGTATAGCATATGTGACCAGGAACACAAGGAGTCACGAATCATACATTGAGAGCTGTTAAGTCATAGCCTGGGTTATTTCTTAGCTCTGTCCCAGAGGGAGCAGAAGGAGGTGTGGCCTGATTCAGGCTGTGGGATCTAAGGAACAGGCCTGTGGTCTAACACCCCAGGTTTTAAATGAAAGTCTCTTATTTTCCATTAATGCCCTATCATGGTATTTTTAGTATAATGTGCTATATTTAGTACTATGTTTGGTATATTTATTTCTCATGCTTTCTTACCTCAAGGCCTTTCCTAATAAAGCTAATTCCTGAAGAGTAATTGTGTGTCTGCTCTTTTCACTAACCATCAGCCCTTCTGATGGGCCAGCCATGGAGCTAACAGAACTGAATACAAAGTGGGCCTCCCCTCACTCCTGTCACCCAGGCTTTCTGTAGGCCAGGGACCAGGTTTTTTTTTTAACCTCAGATATCTCTTCTCTGTGGCAGTTACCGTTGGTATTTATACACCTTCACACACCACTGAGCTGGAGTCTCTTTATGTTTAATTTCCTCTGGTGGTGCCAGTGAGGTGTGTAAGAGAAGCTAGGACACTGTCTGGGTCTCAGCTAATCAGGGAGAAGGCCTGAGGTGACTGCAGACGGCTCTGGGAACCGAACTCAGGTCATCAGGCTTATCAGCAAGGGCCTTTGCCCAGAGAGCCAATTTGTGGGCCTTTAGATGGTGAGTTTTGAGGGGTTCATGTCTCACTCTCCAGCTTGTCTTGCCCAGCCCACTGGCGTGGAACTGGGGGTGGTGCTTTGAAAATCATAAAACAGAAACTTGATAGATAAATGGACATTCTGCTTGTATTTTCTGACCCAGGTGGAGGGGGAAAGGAGGGATAGGAAAAGATGGAGATCATGAAAACACTGTCTCAGTGGTCTTCAAGATCCTGGGCTTCACAAGCCTCCAATTTCCTCTACTGGTGCACTATGGTGCGGCGAGGGTGGCAGGGATTCAGTGCCAAACAACAGACGATGACCAGAAGTGGGTGGTGGCCAGCCACTCTGGCACTCACCAGTGAGTGACTTGTCTCCTGTCAGTCTGAAGCCCTGACTCCAGGTCTTATTTTAGACCTGACAACTGCTCTTAGATGAAGAGTGAATGTTTATTTAGTGAACACCAAGGTCTGCTGTGGGATCATTAACATGGGTGGAACTACTTTGTCTCGAGGGGTCTGAGGTGAAGCCAGGGCTGGGCTAGGCCATGAGGTACTGGAGAGGGAGACATACCCTGTCCAAGGAGATTTGGGAGATCTGGAAACGGAGAATGATGACCCAGATGAGTCCCAGGATGAGTGACTGGTCTCCATCCACAATGTTCTCTGGCCCGATGAAGGGTATGGGCACCTGTGAGCATGGTTGACTGGGATAAGTCATAGAGCCTGTGTTTCCCAGAAACTTGGAGTCCAGGAGATGGGAGGGTCCTGGAACCCAGCCTCCTGCGGCCAGAGATCCTCCAAGGGGAGCATGCATTGGACAATGCCAGCAAAGGGATGGCTTTTTCAATAGTTGGGACATTGGTTCAAGTCTCTAAGCAGGTAAACTAGCCTGGGTAATGAACCCTTATACATGGGGCTGCAAATGAGAGTTCTCAATGAGCTAAACAGACAACAGCCAGTGTCTGCCTTCTCCCAATGCCCAATCTCAAGGGGGTGGCTGGGTCCTTGGATCACCCCCAAACCTCAGTCAGTATTTCATCTCCATTCTAACTATTAGAAGTCCCCAACTCCACCCAGCCAGATCCTCTAGAGTTGAGGCCCAAGAATTTGCATTTGAGCAAACAGTCTAGATCTTGTCCCTTAGAGAAGAGGACTGGTTAATTCAGGACAGATACAGCAGGGTCTCACAGGATCTGCTTGGTACCCTCTGGCTCCATCTTCTCTGCCAAATCATGCAGCCCCATGGCAGAAGAGCTCTGAGATCAGGACTCTGGCTCTGCTTGTGGCATCCCCAGTGCCTGATTCTAACACAGCCCTTATGGCCCTTGCACAGGCTGGCTGTCTAGGCTGTCTGAATATATTACCCCATCAGATGTCTACATGATTTTTCCCCATTCTTCCTATAGGCCTCTAGTTTGGTGTTCTTTGTCAACATGGTCTACTCCAACCATCTTATTTGGAGTTGAAACCATGCATTTTCCTTCCCACCTAAACATACATCTGCTCCCATCTTCGGCTATACAAACACCTAATGTCCACCACTACTCCTGTGGTGGGGGTGGGGGTTCTGCTCTCCAACACATCCTCAGTTCTTAGTAGAACTTTATTACTGGCGTATACCAGGTAGCAACAGTGAGTTGAATGAACTAAGAAAGGAGAGATGTCCTGTAAGACCAGAACAGCTGTGAGCTGGTCTTTAGCCATTGTGGAATTTCACTAGGCATTGTGGGTGCACTCTGCTGCACCTCACAGATCTCTGAGGAATGCACCTAACACTTCCCTCTCTCCCTGGCCCACTCATCCCTTTGTATTCACCTCAGCTGCAGATAGACACCTGGCTAAAGGAGCACACATCTGTTCCTTCCAGCTCCCCAGAGTCAATTCTCCCAGCTCTGGGGTTAGCAGTATCGGCTGATCAGTGAACTTGTGATAGGAGGAAATATTCAGACTTTAGTGTCGTTGTGGTGTGTGTTTACATATGCGTATGCATGTTGAGATAACACACATCCAGTTAGTATTCTATGTTGCCCAGGTTAGCCCCAACTTGAAATCTTCCTGCCTCAGCTTCTTTTGCGCTGGGATTAATGATGTGAACCGCCACACCCAACCTAGGAATTGCTCAACAATTAACTCTGTGGTTTAGCTGAGATTGGGCCAACTCGCTTGTCCAGTCTTGAGTACAGTTGCCTTGGATGTCTTGAGAATGTCACCTCCACAATAATTAGTGACCTGCTATATAACAAAACTCATAAAGGAGCTGGGTGTGGAGCTATAGTCCTGCAATCCCAGCATTTGGGATGTGGAGGTAGGAGGGTCAAGATTTAAGGCCGGTGTATGATACAGGAGTTTAGCAGGCTAGGCTGCAATGTGACCTGTCTAAAACAACAAGCTCAAAAGAGCTGCAGTGCTCACAGCCATCCTAGATTTCTGCAGGGGATAACTGGCTCACAGGGCCATTGTCCCTGGATCTGAACAGGGCCTGGCTTTCTGGTCCTCTGAGTGCTGGGGAACCACAGCTGCTCTCCCTCCAATGGCTTTTGTCCCCCTTTGCTTCCAGATTCCAGGGTGCCGTATGTCACTTCCATCAGGACATAGGAGTCATACACACTTAGCCTCAGCCCAGCTTGGACCAGCTCTACCGCTTCACAACTCTCTCACATCTTCAGTACCCAAGGCCAGCTCACCAATATAAAAGGACCTTGCATAGCCCAGTGGCACTGGCCATGAGGCCCCTTTGCCATGGGAACTCTTGCCTCTTTTTAATGACCATCTCTTTGGCTTGTCTCTTTCCAGGTAACTCTGGTGCCCTCCTGAAGCCCTTCTCTATGTCAGCCTCTTGTGGACACACATACACCCGGGCTCTGCTACTTGGCTGACCATGGATCCTGCCTGGTAAATCATTCTGGATTTACATGTCAGGTTTAAGAAAGGAGGTTAAGAGCTCTGAGTCTTTCGGCGAAGAACCCTGCAATCCTCCCTTATTAGACCAGCACGTTTTCGGTCCTCACAGGGACATTGATTGTTCATGCTGTGGACAGCTGGTGGCTCCCTAGGTCAAGTGCACTGTGCAAGGAGGACTTTGCTGCCAGCCTCGGCTACACCTCTGGTAGTCAGGCCCAGACCTCCTGCTCTGCTGAAGCCTAGCCCTCATATGATGACCTCTGCTTGCTGCTTGCCCAGCTGTCCACCCAGACACCCCTTCCCAGAACAAACCTTGGCCCTGAGGAAGGCCAGTGCGTGGCTGTTGTTCTCCAGGAAGTGCACACGCAGGCAGCCTGGGCTGGGTGTTGGCAGAGCCTCCCCAGAGATAAGCTCCAACAGCCGCAGTAGGTGGACACCGTCAGCAAGCTCTGTGTACAGGTTCTGGATCCTGATACCCACCTGGTGAGTGGATTGGGACAGAGGTGGGGCCAGCCTGGCATCTCCTGCCCACCCCATTTTAAAGCCCCCAAGGTGCATGCCAGAACAGCTACAGGCAGGGGATCCCAGAGCAGGCCCCCAGGTCACTGGCCAGAACTAGAGGCACCCAGGCCATACTTACCCGGCCCAGTCGGAAGACGTTGTTGATCCACTTGGTGAAGGTCTTCTCCTGCATCTGTGCATGCTGAGCCTGGAGCTTGCGGACATGGCCAATCTCATACTCAGAGTCCATGGCCAAACTTGGACTCAGCAGGGCTGAGCTGCAGGCCTGGGTCTCCTCCTCAGGGACACTGCTGCTGAGGAACTGGAGGGTTGAAGGGACAACCAGCCTATGGACCTATAGCTCTCTGAGGGTGATTGGCAACTGGACACTTCCCTGTGTCTGGAGATGGGGGGCATGGAGGCTAGGGAGCACTGTGAGCACAGATGAACCTCCTGTCAGAAGCCCGAGGCGGGCCTTGCCACTTGTCCCCATGAAGGACAGGAATTATGGGTTGGAGCCTAAGTGGGTAAGAAGCCTGACTGATGGTTTGAATGATTCAGAGTCACCCCACACCCTAACTTTCCAGATCCTTATCTGAACCACAGCCATTGGCCCCCATTCTTTGTCTTAACTTTGGCAGGCAGAAGGAAGTCAGGGGCTGCTCACCTGGGCAGTTGATGGCTGGGTTCTTGCTAGGAGGCCCCGCTGTCAGATGGAGACACAGGATAGCAGGGCCTGTGGAGTGAGGGAGAGAGGCAACCAGAAAGGTCAGGCTGGAGCTGGGACAGCAGTGTGCCCCTCCCCTTTGCTGCCTGTCAGGGGTAATGGCACACAGGCAGCATTGTCCTCCCACCTGCTGCAGGGAGGAGCCCAGGCAGGAGGGGGTGGCTCAAGAATGCTCTAGGCTCATTGCTCAGGGGTCTCCTCCCTCATTCCATACCCCATTCCCTGGCTGCCTCCCTTGTTGGCAGGGATGACCTTGCTGGCTCTGGTGAGAACACCGCAGGATGCTGAAGTCTGGCTGAAAGTGGGGACTCACTTCCTCTTCCACACCCCATCCTAGGATGATGGAAGGAGCAAACTGACTGTCAGCCCCTCTCTAGCCCGAGAACAGCCACAGGGAGCCATAACGTCCTGTGTTCCAGCTTCCCAGGCTCTGACCAGATCTGGGCCACAAGCTCAGCTCAACCAAGCACTGAGGAGACAGTCAGTGACAGATGAATCGTGAGGGTACCCAGGGAAGCAGTGGGGGGTGACTCCCTCTCACAGCTCCCCTGCAAGCAACAATCCCCTTTTAGATGCTGCCTGTCAGAGGCCCTGATCTCTCTTTTTACAAGCCTTGGCTACAGGGACACCTCCCTGTACCCATTCCCAGAGCCTCCAAGGACATTTATACAGACATCTCAGAGACTATGGCCCAAGTTTAGTTGTGTGTAACCCCCAGGGCAGGAGCTCATTCTTTCTCTGACTGCAGCACAGGAGGGAGCTTACCACCCTCTGCATGGCCTGCCTGGAGCCCCAGACCATGCATGGTCAGTCCCATGGAAGATTCTGGAAGAGACATCAGTTTTTCAGGCCCAGTTCCTGTTTGGTAGGGGAAGTCTCACCTTCAGCCATTCCATGCTGAAGGTGCCCGGTCTCATCTGTAAGGGAAAGCTTTCAGAAAAGTCCTTCGCCCCTCTGGGTTTGTGTGATATGAGGTTGAGGGCAGACAGCTGTATGATGCCATTGATAGGGTTAAGCAGAGGTGACTGTTTAGTTGTTGGATGTGGGGCTAGCGGGGTGGCTCAGTGGTTAAGGGCACTGGCCACCCTTCCAGAGAACCTGGGTTCAGTTTCCAGCACATGTGACTTACAGCCATCTGCAACTCCAGTTCCAGAGCATCTGGTGCCCTCTTCTGGCGTCTGCAGGCACCAGGTACTCATGCAGTGCGCATACATACAGGCAAGTGCCTGTACACATAAAATAAAAATAATAAAAATAAATAAATCTTTAAAAAAGAACTTGTTGGATTAAGACTAGAGGACTGCTCTCCTCCCCACACCTCCCCCTGTACAAGGACCAGCTCCTTTTTGGTTGTGAATAAGTAAGCCCTTGGTGAAAAGGTCAATGCTGTTTGGAATCTTTGCCAAGTGACTGCATTTTCTATGTGAGCTGGATTGAGTGATACAGATGGAGTGTACTGATCCATAACTGAAAAACAACCTAGCAGGAACAGGACTTCAGAATGCTAATCCCAAATGACGTCACTGCAGATCTAGGTTTCCTATGCCTTGCTCAATGCCTCTTTTCTGCCAGCCCAACCTCCTCCCCTAACCCCCTCCTCTCAATGTCATTTATAGCGATGTACCAATAAGGACCCTGCTTTACATTACAGTTCCAGAGAAGAGGGAATATGGAACACCTTCCTAAGTGCTGGAGTGGGGGTTCTTCAGGATTGAATTGGGAAAATTGGTGTTTCTGTCTAGGGGAGATGAAATACTTCGGCTTAGGCTAAACAGGATCCATCCTGGTTTTGGGTGAGACTGTAAGAAATATGCAGTGCTGAATGGCAGTCCATGTTGGCACCATCACAAAGGTACATGGTGTCTGTGCAGGTGGAGCATGCCTGCAGTATGTGAGCGAGGTCTGTATCTCAGGAGTGTGCTCAGCATTGTCCCACCCCACAGCCCAGCGGTACCCATCCCCACAGTCCCTTCAGCCTGCACTTTCAACCTCTCTCAGGTGAGTCTTTGTCCCCAGTGATGAGACCCACTGAGAGACCTCTTCCCCAGAGATGATTCCCCAGGAGGAATTGGGGTCACAGGGATGGCATGGAGAAGAGGCATACCTCTCTGGACTCTTACATCTCCTTTCAAAATGGATCCAAAGGACCACTTTCCTCTTGAGAAGTGGGCACAGTTATAAGAAGCCAGAGCCATGTGGATCAACACTTTTAAATAAGATTTTAAAAAATATAGGCATTGTATATTTACTGTTGCCAAATACTATATAATCTAACACAGTCTTGAATTGGGCCCTGGGTTACTTGAATAAACTCAGGCTCCCCATACTGGGGTCTTGCTGTTGTATTGAAGCATGAGGTGATACTGTCGGGCCATCTGCCTACCCCATGAGCTGGGGTATGTCCACATGGCCAAGTAGTTTCCTTCTCCTTGGGCCCAGCAGGACTTCACTGGTAGGCGAGGACGTCAGGACCTAGCTGAAGTGCTCCCTTCCCCTCACCTGCAGAGTGTTCCGTGATCCAGTGACATGTAATGGTTACAAACATGGTCTTTGGAACCAGGGAGAGCATGTAGTTGCGTAGTCACAGACAACACACTTTCACCTTTCCTCCTGTGTGTAAACACTCTGAGGTGGCTTCTTTGGAAACTAGGGTGATGTGGTCTGTGGTTTGGATTTGAAGTGTACTGAAGGCTTGGTCAACAGAGTGGTGACTGGACCATAACGGTTCTGACTCTACCCATGGATGAAGATGAATGGATGGTAAGGACGCAGGGTCACTGAGGCATGCCTTTGTGTATGTCTCTTGTCTTGCGTCTCCTTCCCTCTCTTCTTGGCTGCCATGTACTCCTGCTGCTATGATATTCTGCCTCACCTCAGGCCCACAACAACGGAGCCAGCTGAATGTACGTTTATATGTTTCTCTGAGCTGAATTCTCTCAAAACAGTTGGCAAATTTAAACTTTCCCTCCTAGAAACTGAGGTCTGTCAAGTGTTTCTGTGACATGCAGAAAACTCACACGAGGGAGGGGCAATGCAGTCAGAGTGAGCAGATTTGTGGTGTGGGGAGGGGTGTTTTGAACAGTCTAGGAACTTTGTGTTGGTTCTGGGGAGACACAATCTTTCATTTGGTCACCATCTCTGGTGTTTTCCTTCTGGTAAACGTATCATGATGAACAAGAGAATATTATGGAAAGTAGACCCATGATTTCTTTTTCTTCAGTAACATCACCAGGTCAGAGAAGGGTGAGACTCAGCTGCTAGGCTTCTCCCAGCAGAAGGTAGAGATGCATGAGGAGGGAGATCCCAGAAATCTTTGCCTGCTGTCCCTAGAAAGTCCTCCTCTGAGGCTCTGTATAGAAGCAACTTGGTCACATCTACATAGAATATACAGATGCACTTTAGAGACATCCATGAGTCATACATTTGTGATTATATTTATGCAGATATATGACAACTGTGCAGAGAAAAAGCAGCAAGACAATTGGGAAAGAATCCTCCCAGGCATCACCACCCATTAGACACCAGGGTCCTCATACCACAGAAATGCCTGCTTCAGTTACAGCCCCAGGATCAAACATTCCCCTTTGTGTCCCACTAATCAAAACATGTTCATTCAAAGTAAAATGCACACCATGTTTCTCTTAAAACTGTCATTTAGAAAGTGACATAGGAAGTGTGGATGGTGACATAAGAATTCTCCCTGGTTTTGAAGCAGACTGCCATGAAACTAACAATGTAGCTTGGGTTTCAGACTCGTGGTAATTCTCCTGCATCAGCCCCCCAAGTACTGGGATAATGGACGTGAACTTTTAGCATTTTCTCTTCAATCTACAGTTCTGACTGTGAGGTTGCCAGAGGCAGGGAATTAGGGGTGGGAGTATGTTTTTCTGAAGATTCAGGGCACTGTTCAGATTCATTCATTTCTGGTACTGTCAGGGCTGGGCCAAGAGTCACTGCTGTGCTGCGACCCCTACTGCATAAGTGAGGGTGAGAGTACTCAACAGCTGTGCCCTGAACGAGTGGGCCAGAGTCACTCAGGGGCTTGGAACACTGAAGAGCCAGTGGAGGGGGTTGCGCAGACCAGTCCGGGCCCCAGACAGGCACTCCTGATGGGAAGCACACTAGCCTGGAAGAAAAGGTATTACACACAGATTTCTATAGAAAAGCTTCTTGTGAGGAAAACACAGTTGGGCACACACAATAAAATGCATGTTTTTCCTTAAAAATCAATCAATAGCTCTAGACTGGGCTAGTCTCTCTCTATCTGGGTCCAAAGTCTCTAGGACTACACAATTCAAGATATAACTTTGTTGAACTTAAATTCTGCTACTTTCTGTCACCTACCAAAAAGCCTGGAGAACATTCAGTGGTCGAAGGGCACACTTAGTGACAGGTGGGAACTGTCTCTTTTCTTAAGGCTGATAAATTATTGAGTTTGCTGCAACATATTGCATGCACTGAAAAGAAAAGCCAATCCTCAGACTTCAACATGAGGTCTTGCCAGGGGCTGACAGAGGTTGTGAATTCCAAATTCCCAACTGAACCCAGCTTTGCTGGAGGGAATCTTGGCAGGGTCATGCACCGGGTGCTGGGACAAAGCTTGGCTGCCTACTCAGCTGGGGACTCAGGAGGAATGGGTGCACTCAGACTTGCCCACCCTCTTTCAGACCTGGGTACTAGGAGTCTTCTCTTTGGTATCAGTCTACAGAGAGCAGAAGCCCTCTGTCATTTTTGCTGCTTCTCAGTGCCCTCTGAAGGACTGAGAGGTTCATGGTAACAAATTGCTTTGAAGACTCCTGTCAGTCCTCAGATCACTCCCTGAGTTCCCCAGACTGTGTCCACACCTGCATTTTTCTTTGGATAATTTCTTTTTCTTCTTAGACTTTTAATCTCCATATATAGTACTCTTCTCAATATTTAGATAGAAATATTTTGATAGAAACTTAGGGATTTTAGAGGTAAAAGGACCTCATCTAGTATCCAGTGTCTGCCCCTCCCCACCCTACATATGAGGAAACTGAGATGTGGAGAGGACAGAACCTTGGCCAAGGGCATTCAGCAAGTCAGCGGCATAGCAGACTTCAGGCCCAGACACTCCCTCCTCTCCCACCCCAGTGCACCCTCAGTCAGCCTTCGGCAGGGACTTCCTGTGAGAGGGGGGCACCAGGTGTAGGGGAAGGCTGTTCGGCAGCTCGTAGCCATCCAACTTGATCTTGATGAGGTGTTTGGCCAGTGCAAACTCCTCCTCATCCAGCATGCCATCGCAATCACAGTCGGCCAGCTTCCAGATCTTGCCCAGGACACTGTTGGGCAGCTTGGAGGTCACCATTTCCTTCTTGGCATTGACACCTGATATCTTGCCATTGATGGGTGACAGCGTATAAAAGAGTTCATCATACACGGGCTTGTCTTTAGCCACGACCCACTCTTCCTCATCAGCACCCTCCTTGGCCCCCTCCCCATAGCCCTGGTTGAAGGGCCCTTCTGAGGTGCCATCAAAGGCACCGCCCTGCACCATCTGCGTGGGCATGTTCATCTCTTCCTGGCTGATGAGGCTCATCAGGGATGAGATCTTGTTGCTCAGCATGTTGTCCACGGCCTCGATCAGCTTGGGCTTCAGCGAGTGGAACTTGGTGAAGTCATAGTTCTCAAGCTGTTCCTATAGGAGGGGAAATCAGATTTGGTATTACGTTCTCTACAGGAGGTGCTGAAGCAGCCATCCCACCACACCCTGTCATTCAGAAGAACTCTTTACTGGGACTTCTATCTCTAAGCTCACCAAATAGCAGAGGGGCTTAGGAATAAGAAACAAGCAAGCTTCAGGGGTGAAATGTGGCTTTTTGTACAGTAGTGCTCTCTCTGGTGGCTGCAGCAGTTACAGTCCCCAACTTGCCCTAATGCCCTAGAGAATTGGTTCTTCTACACACTTCAGCTACTTTCACAACAATCCAGGGAGTGAAAAAGGACAACATTATAAACTTGTTTTACAATCACATGGACTATCCAGATGGAGTTAAGACTAGAGTCCACATCTGCTAACTCTTTGCTATGCTTTGCTAAAAAGCTCAGGGACAAGAGGGATCCCACACCTGACACTGCCTAGATGAGATCGAGAAGCTAGGTGGCTCAGAGATCTAGAGTAGAACCAAACATGACAAAAAATCAAGGAAATGATTCCTAATGATATTCCACTATACTCATTGGATTGATGCCTATCCCAATCGTCATCAGAGAGACTTCTTCCAGCAGCTGATGGGAGCAGATGCAGAGACCCACTGCCAAACATTAAGTGGGCCTCAGGAAATTCGGCAGAAGAGGAGGAGGGATTGTATGAGTCAGAGAGGTTGAGGACATCAGGAGAGCACGGTCCACAGAATCAACTAAGCAGGCCTATAGGGGCCCACAGAGACCAATGTGGTAACCATGGAGCCTTCAAGGGTCTACATCAGGTCTTCTGCGTATATGTTGTGGTTCTTTAGCTTGGGGTGTTTGTGGAACTCCTAACAGTGGGATAGGAGGATGTCTCTGACTCTTTTGCCTGCTCATGGGACCCATTCCTTCTACTGGGTTGCCAAGCCCAGCCTTGATAAGAGGGTATATGCCTGTTCTCATTGCATCTTGTTTTTTTTTGTTGTTGTTGTTGTTTTGTTTGGTTGTTTTTGTTTTTTGTTTTTGAGACAGGTTTCTCTGTGTAGCCCTCACTGTCCTGGACTTTGCTCTATAGACCAGGATAGCCTCGAACTCAGAGATCAACCTGCTTCTGCCTCCCGAGTATTGGGGTTAAAGGCATGTGCCACCACTCCCTGGACCATTGCATCTTGTTATGCCAAAATTGGTTGTGATCACTGAGAGACCTGCTCTGAAAAGAAATGGAGGAGCAGTAGATATGGGTAGGGAGAGTTGAGAGAAGGGAAGGAGGGGAGACCACAGTTGGGATGTATTTGTAAAGAGTTAAAATAAAAATCATTAAAGTTTGAAAAAAAAGAACCCTCAAAGGTTATATTTAGGGGGGAAATCCTATTATTTGAGAACTTTGTAGCTGATTGTGTGTGGTATCACACACCTATAATCCCAGCACTCAGAAGGTAAAGATTGTAGAGTTGCTGCAAGATTGAGGCTAGCCTGGTCTACACAGTAACACTCTGTCTCAATTCCCCTGGCTCTTGATGAAAAGAACTTTGTTTTTGGATTATTTGAAAATAACACTCATGTAGTCTGGGGCACATAAACATGCTCCTTGACTTTAATCTCTTTAAGAATGAGCTTAGAAGGCTACAGAACCAGAAACCTTCAGAGATTCCCCACACAGGCACAGTCTACTGCATTGAGGCTTTCTCAGGAGGCCCCTGTCAGGGCTGTGGGAATCTTGCAGCTGTAGACTAGTCAGCTAATTTAAAAGAGTGCACAAATAAGCACAAGCTGAAACCTAGGATTGAGCACCATAAGCCGGGTCACAATAGGTCTCTTGGGAGAAGTGGCCTGTCAGCAGAGCAAAGGCTCTAGAGAGGGTTGAGGAACTTTGCCACTGGCCTTCCAGGGTGGAGCCTCCTGCCCGGGAGGAGGATCACAGAGGCTTTATGGGTAGTGATAAAGAGAGAGTCCTTTCTACCTAGTTTGTCTTTGCTTATTTACACATCCATATTTGTATCCATCCACCTATCCACCATTTACCCATCCTTCATGCAGCCATCCTGTATCCAGCCCTTATCACTTATCACTATCGTTTGCTATGCATCAGATGCTCTCCTGGCCCCAGGGACGGGCTCTGCTTTAAAGGAGCCTTGGTCACACTGGAGGAAAAAGACACCAGTTGTGCAGTGTTCATTTACTTTAAAAAAAAACTTGTGCAAAAAGGATAACATGAACTATAAAAAGTCAGTAGAAAGGGAGAATCGAGTAATTAGAAGGCAGAAGGGATGTCACACCAGGTGTCTGAGGTTAAAGAAGGCTGTTTCCTGCAAGCACGTATGAACTCGGGATTCTGAGTTCCTTGGATACCCAGGAAGGAGCTCGTTTATTTACTAATGTAACAGATGGGACTAGAATTGAGCTTTCTCTGGCCTTGATCAGGAAGAGTTGCCTAGGTCTTAACATCAGCAGACTCAAAGAACCTAATGTAAAATGGTCTTCCACATTTTTTTCCTAGCAAATGCAGAAGCATTCAGAGTGTGTATGCATGTGTGTGTGTGTGTGTGTGTGTGTGTGTGAGAGAGAGAGAGAGAGAGAGAGAGAGAGAGAGAGAGAGAGAGAGAGAGAGAGAGAGAGAGAGAGAGAGAGAGAGAGAGAGAGAGAGAGGAGGTGCATGTCTGTGCACACAAAGAAGCTAGGGGCAGTTGTCAGGCCCTCTATCACTCTCGGCTGATACTTTTGAGGCAGGGTCTTTCTCTGAACCTTGACTTGTATTTCATGCGTAGGAACAAGCCTCAGTGACCTTTCAGTTTCCGGTCCTTCAGAGGTGGGGTTACAGGCATGTAGGACCCAAACACTCGTTCTAATGTGTGCACATTTCTCTAGTCAGTGGCAGAGTTGCTGGTTTTTTGTTTTATTTTTGTCTATGAGTGTCGTTGGGAATTAAACTTGGGGCCTATTACACATTAGGCAAGTGATCAGTCATCAAGCTTTATATTCTCAGCCCTCACTGCAGTTTTTCATGTGGGTATTTATGTATAGGCAACTCTGGATGAGAGGGTGTGGAGATAAGACAGGCTACTCATTTACGTAGTTTCCTCGAGATGAGACAGAGAGATCCCAGAAAGAAGGCAATCTTGGCTATTCTGGACAGAAACAGTGTGACAGGCTATTAAGGTGGGGGGGGGGATTGGCATGGACCAATACATTCTTTCACTGAAAAAATGTGAGGAAAAAAGTAGAGATTAAAAATAAATATTTAAACCAGGCATACCGTGTGCCTCTAAGGCCACAACTCGGGAGGTGGCGGCAGGAGGGTCAAGAATTCAAGGAGAGCTCATACAGGGTGGGAGTGTGGATGCAGGCATATCGGGAACACCTTTAACCCAGCACTCTGGAAGAGACACAAGTGTATGTGCCTCTGTGAGTTCTAGGCCAGTAGGGCTACACAGTGGAACTTTGTCTCAAAGGGCAACAAACAAACAAACAAATGGAATTCAGGGTGGGGGCTAGATAGCAGAAGACCCCAATCAGTTCCCAGCACCCAAGTTGTGTGGCTCACAACCACCTGTAGTTCCAGCTTTATGGGAGCTAATATCCTTTTCTGACCTCTGTGGATAACTACACTCACACCCACATAGATATATACGCATACATATACTCTAAATAAAAATAAAAATGAATTTCATGGCTCTAGGTCCTACTGCCTCTACCTTTTGAGTGTTGGGATTATTGATGTGTGCTACCACACATGGCTAATCTAATATCTAATAGCTACATAACACTGAATTACTTAGTCATTTTGTAGATAGAAATGGAAGCAGTGTCTAACAGAGAACAAAAGTTGTGATTTTCAGGGTGTGTGGCAGGACAGGATTCTGTGTTCTTATTTGGAAGGGGAGCCCCAACACTCAGACTGCAGAGGGGACAGAGCCAAAATATGACTGCCTATCATGTCTTCAGAATAGACCTCCCAACATACTTGCAGGCAGCCAGCATTATGCCATCTAGCCTGCTATGCTGAAACCTGGTAGTCTGCACCTGGTTGAGCGCTTTAGTCGGGCAGTCTGGTTTTCTGAAATGAGTCTGGCTTCTGGGTCCTGCATCCTCACTGGTGATTAGAGCCACCTCCACCCTCAGCACCAGACAGTGCTACCAACATTCAGGACTTCTGCTGACAGTGTCACAGTCAGCTGAGGGGACAAAAGGGGCCAGTTGAGGAGGAAGGATGTAGGCCCTCCTACATAAAAATTCCAATGCTACTGGGTAAGATGTCTGAATTCCCTTGGGTGCAGAACACCTACCCCATCCCTCAGGAATGCGTCTGAGCCCTGAGCACACTGGGTCCTGTGTCTGGCAAACAGACCCGTAGGGACTATATCTACCCAAACTGTCTACTACTCTGCAGAGGCCAGGGACTCTGATGGCAGACATATGAAGAAACAAAGGGCCGATGGCTACAATTTTGCAGGGATGACTAGAAAGCAGAGGCTATGTCTGTCCAGAAAGCACACAGGGAATAAACTCTGGTCCCTGTGGTCCTTACAGACCTGAGCAGGGGTGTGGAGGACAAGCTACTGCTCTCCTGCAGAGCAGGTCTAAAACAGCAATCTCCTATTACTGGGATAGCCATGCAGTCAGAATTTAGTAAGATCAACAACTGTACCACTGGGCCCAGGATCCTGGGGCTGGAGTCGTTTCCCAGCCTAGTCTCAAGCTGGGTTATCCTTGTCCAGTTACTACCAAAGTTCACCAGAGCAGTTTTCAAACGTGTGGTAGGGACAAGCAGATGGGGATGGCTCTGTCGCCCTCTGCTGTTAAAACATGATAACTCACCCACACGTCTGTCAAATTCTTCAAGACAACTGAATGAGCAAATAACAATATAGTGTTTCTAGTGTTCTCAAGCTGCAGGACAGTCTTTGCACAATAGGCCAGCGTCCCTTGGAACAGGATACAGGACAGACACAGAAACACGCACTTGGCTCACTGTAACAGACGTGAGACTCTTTTGATCAGAGAATTCTTGAGAGGGAGAACACAGACCTAAGGCCAGCTGCTGTGAACCCTCCTCATGACCCTCAATATGCTCAGTTCGTGACTGTTATTTCCCAGCTATAGCCTCTACCTCTGACCCATGTTCAGTGTTAACTGAATGCCTGTTGCTGAGGACAGTAGATCTCAACAGTCTCAGGGAAAGGCGCATGCTCAGCATGTATTTATTGAGCACCTACTGCATTCTAGATCAGCAGTTCTCAACCTGTGGGTTGCAAACCCTCTGGGGGCTGCATATCAGATATCCCGCATATCAGATATTTACATTACAATTCATAACAGTAGCAAAATTACAGTTATGAGGTAGCAACAAAATAATTTTATGGTGGGTCACCACAACATGAGGAAGGGTATTAAAGGGTCCCAGCATTAGGAATGTTGAGAACCACTGTTCTAGATGAAGAGGAAGTAGAGTGATCATGGCATGGGTACTGGACTCTGGAGTACAAAGACACAATGAATCACAGACATGAAGTCACTAATTACACTGAAACCCACAGCATTCATGTTGCAGCAAGGGTGTGTCACCAGAGCAAAGACTAAATTATTCTTCCTCTTATCTTAAATGGCTGCCCCACTGATGTATTCCAGGGACTAGGACAATGCTTGGCCACAGTAATTAACATTTTCCTGGATGAATGACTAAATGAGCACATATGAACATGACATCTTTCATGTTGGGGCTCCTTGTTCTGTCCCAAGGCACTTGGGCTCACTGAAGATACTAAATGTGGGTACTGGCCATGGGGACTCTTAGAATAGGCTTCCACTGACCTGGACTCCTGCTAAATGGGCTGCTCCTGAGACTCTGGTTTCCCTGACTCCTTCCCCAAGACTATTCCTTGCCCCAGCTCTGAGAGGCCTGGGTATCCTCTGACCCAGATGGGTTCAGATGATTTTCACAGATAACTATCATTCCGGAATCTGCTCCGTTATGGGGGCTCACCTACAGGCCATGTGGGGGCTCAGAGGGGCTCAGCGGAGCTTCAGGGTTTCAGAGAGTCACTATGTGGTGTGGGCATCGTAACAACAGCTAAAGAGTGCATATATGTAGAGCCATGACACATGGTGGGTACTTATTCATGGTTTTCATTTAAGCCAAGATCTAAGTTCCCTTGTGAAAGGTATAAGGAAGCAGCTGTCCTGTAGTTGAGCCATGGGATGCAGGGCATAACCTGAGTATAAAAGAAAAAGTCTCAGCTGGGCAGTGGTGGTGCATACCTTTAATCCCAGCACTCATGAGACAGAGTCGGGTGGATCTCTGTGAGTTCAGGGCCAGCCTGGTCTACAGAGAGAAAGAGTTCCAGGATAGCCAAGGCAACAAAGATAAACCCTGTCTTGAAAAAAAAAAGTAGTCTCTGGGAGACAACTAACCACAAGTCCTCAAGTTAGTTATCTTGTGACCAGAAGGAAACAAAGGTTATCTCTGTATTTGTCATAAAACAAATTTCCTCCTACTGGGTCGCCTTGTCCCTCCTCTCACTGCATCTTGTTATGCCATGTTTGGTTGATGTCTCTGGGAGGCCTGCTCTTTTCTGAAGGGAAATGGAGGAGCAGCAGGTGGGGTTGGTGGAGGTTGGGAGGAGGGGAGGAAAGGGAAGCCGCAGTCAGGATGTACTGTATGAGAGAATAAATTAAACAAAGAAACAAATAACTTGGCTAGATCCCATGACCAGATCATACCAGAAGCACCCACCTTGACCCCAGGCATAACGAGTTGCCACCAGAACAATGAGTCTAACGCCCCCTCCCCCACCCAGCATGGCCATGTCAGTGTTTCATTTATTAAAGCTGACCTCACCTCTATTTTGTCCACTCCCTTCCTCCTGTCTCTCTGAGGCCCAACCTTAGCCATACTCTCACTTTAGCCATTCTCTGTGGCTATGTTTAGTCTATCCAGTTTTTGAAAAATTGAGACCAAATTTGAAAGGTGATTCGCATACAACTCTAGAATTCAGCTTCTTATGGCCATGAGGGTTCATATTCCCATAGGACAGTGACTATGACACCCCCACATAGGCGGGCGACCCACAGGACCCAACGAGCTCCCACTCTGCAACTGCAGAATCACCCTCCTTGCAGATCTTGTAGATATGCTCAGGGACCCACTAGATGTGACAAGCAGGCAGAGATGACAAGGCTACCTCTTTATGCGGCTATACAGCTGGTAGCTGTAGGTACCTGAGCTCAAGTCATCTGCTTTATAGAGAGGACTGTGGCCCTGTGCAGATGTGTACTACACTAGACAAGAAGATCGTGACCTTGCTCAGAAGGACACTCCATCACTGTGGTGCAGTGGACACTGGACACTGGTTGGGCCAAAGCAGCTGAATGCAGCCCCATTATGGCTTGCCTGGAACTGCCCAGAGCTAAAGGGGGTTTAAGAGAGGTTCCAAAATCAGGTTGGAGGCCACCAATACTAGTCTTTCAGAAGAACTCTTGCTGAATACAGCAAGTACAGCTGTGTCCAGAGTCCCAGTTTAATGGTCAGCAGAGATCCTGCCTAAGCATATGCCCTCACTGTATGGCTGCAGGAGCTATCCAAAGTGACCTTCAAAGACAAGCCCAGCTATAATTCCCTTCAGGTTCTGGGATTCTGAAAATCAGGAGTCACCTCAATCTCAAAGACAACTCTGAGGCTCATCTATAAGGTCAGGCTGTCTGTCTTTCTCATGTGAGTTTCACTGCTCTTTGTCTAATTGTCTTCCCTTTAAAAAGACATTTTGGAAGGCAAACAATGTCTGCTTTAGTCATAGGAGGCCATCCATCATCATGGGTTACCATTAAGAAGATGACTTTATTGCATTCTCCTTCATTAAACTGTGCAACTTTCTTATATTTCCTGTGACCAGCTAGGGATTGTGGCAAGGAATTGTAGTTCCCCAACTTCCTCGTGACACTATAACGGGACTCCCAGTACCTGCATGGCCTTGACTTCAGGGAAGTCCCCCGCAGAAATCTGATATTCTCGCTGCAGCTGAACATAGATTTCTGGAAGCCTGAAGATAAGTTCTCGCTTCTTATTTTCTTTTCCAAATACATTCGGCATTTCCTTCTTCAGGTAGCTGATGATGTAGGCATGTACCTGAGGAGGACATGTCAGGTGAGCACATACCACACTACTTGCAAGAAGAGATAAATGAGACCCATTCCCATGCAGAACTCTGGTTCTCAACCACAAGAGAAGGTGAAGATCCAGGAGCCAGACAGCCTAAGGGGAACTAGAATGTACTTCCAGAGCTCCGGGGAGCTGGCCTGAACCAGGTAAACTGAGAGCTGGACTTGAGGAAGGGCCAGAGGGACCAGATATGCTGAGACCACACAGTGATGGTGAGCACAGAGAAGAACCACAACACCAAAGGCTGGTAAGGGGGAGGGCACAGAAAGACAGATTAAGGATATGGGGTGACCGGGCAAAGGAAGAAGTAACATCTGAGTTGGGCCTTGTGGAGAAAGGCGGGAGATGCAGTGAGAAGATCCAGAGAGGGTGCTAACAGGCTGGGTGTGTATTTGGGGCTGCATCACGCACATGGTCTGGAGGTGGGAGAGGTGGGCTGCATCCAGATCTTACTTAGCAGGCATCAGGAGCCACTGGAGGGTTTGAAGTGAGGCTCTGCGAATCTAATGCTTGCACTAATGATGGCTCTCCAGGGCCAGAGAGGTCAGAGTAATGGTGACCTGTGTGATACCTGGCTGAGAACTAGGTGGGGTGAGTTTCAGAGAATGTTCCTGGGCATTGTGTCTTCAAGTCTATTCCCAAGAAAAGGGCAACTGACTGCAGCCTCTGAGTGGTGATTCTACTGTCTGGGCAGGAAGTGAACAGACCCCGAGCAGGGAAGATCTCTACTGTGACTAGCCAGATGCAGACACAGCTTCACCTGTGGCCTGAGAGCACCAGGAAGTGAAACTGGAGGTTGACTGAAGCTTATCTATTCAGGGATGGTGACCAGTGAACAATGAAGTAAGAATGATCACTGGGCATACCTCAAAGGGCACAATGCTGAGATCTTCACCAGTGGCACTAAGTGATTTTTGTATGAGACCAGTTGCATGGGACCAGGCTGGATGAAAAGCTCTCTCTGGGGAGGAAACCCAGATACATGAGTGGAAAGCTTCCAAACCCCTGAGGAGGGTACTATCCTGTCCTGTCTGGCCTGTCACACTCTATCCCCAGCTTTTCCATTCTTCCAATTACTTCTAACTTAGGTCAGTAAGTTGTGTTCATCACAAAAGTTTTCTTTTGAGAACTTCAAATCTACAGAGTAATTCAGAAGCCAAATAAACAGCCAGAATAGGAAAGGATGGAAAACAGAACAATTATTTAAAAAATAGCACAGTTATGTAGACTGGAAAATGTTACTAAAGATAATAGATTTCAATAGAAGCTTAAGGAAGAAAGAAATTGGAGAGAGTGAGCAGATACACTTGGCTGAGCGCCTCTGGGTGGGTCCAGAGAATCTGAACAGTAATGTAAGCACATGCAGTGTATAGACACCATCTGAGCTATATGGCTATTGATTAGGAATAGCTTCTCTAAAGGTGGTTAACTGAATCTAGGGTTATAAAAACTATTAGCTCAAAATCAGGCTTGTGGTGAATCTGAGGTGTTTCTCACTTGCCCCTGTGGTCCTGTGTGACTTCTTAACAGCTTTGGTTCTGAACATACAATGTGTTAGTTTGCACTATGCCACACCATGTGGTGCCAATAAACTGTCTGAAATACCTCTGTTCAGACTGAGACTGCTGTTTGTGGGTTTATGGTAATAATGTTTTTCAGTTAATGCTGGGCATGGTTAACTCATGTCTGTAATCTCGGTCCTCAGAAAGCTGAGACAAGAGGACTGCCATGGGTTGAGGCCAGCCTGGGCTACACAGTGTTCCAGGTTAGTCTGGGCTACTGAGTAAAACCTATCTCCCATCTGTCCCTGATGGAAAAAAAATTGAATAATAAACCCAAGACTCAAACTCATAGGTGAAAAAAATGTGAGACTGAGAGAAGCAGCCAAATCCTACTGAACAAGAGTTTGTTATTCTGTCCAGATCAAAGCTGGTACCACAACCACGTGTGATTCTAACAGTCTCAAAAAGGACTTAAGGGTGCCTTTAAGGCATCTGAGGCCAGCCTTCAGAGAGACAGGTTTCCATATATAGGCGTGGGCACTGACATCCACAAAGCCCAGGCAGGGACGGAGCTATTTTTATGCCTTGCAGTGGATAAGCATTAAAGGGCTCATCATCGCACACTGCACAGTGATTCTCACACTCTTCAGCCTGTGTCTGCCTGATGAGCTACAAGATGCCTAACTTCTCAAAAAAGGAATTTGACACTGCAAACAGGAAAGCCAGGCCACGCATATCACATGTGACGAAGAGGAAAATGCGTCTTTGGAAAGCAAACTAAATTCCACAGAACTCTTGTGACCCTGAAGCTCTTCTCTCTCATTTTCCACCACTCCTTCCTCAAAAGTTGCTTTATTTTCTTATTGAGTGGCGCTCTCCACAAGAGTGGGGGCCTTTCCTAGCCTTGTGCAGAATGGGGTCTAATAGCACACCTGCCTCACTTTTGATATTTGTTCATCTATTCATAAAGAAGGCTTATGGAAGAATAAAACTAAATTCTATTTCCCAAACTCGGATGTGGGCTTTCCTAAAATAGTTCTTACTCTGAAGAGTTGTGCCGTGAGCTCTGACTGGCGTCTCAGAGCAAACAGATTTCTGGCAGGCTGCCTCCCTCTGATAAAAGGTGAGGAGGCAAGGAGGCTAACCCAGAGCACATGAAGGCTTCATGCTCCTTAGAAGGTAGCTTTGAAAACACACAAATAAAAAAGACAGCAAAATTACCCAATTTCCAGCCTTTTGTTTGTAAATTAAAATCTTGTATTACTGTGAGAGTGATTAAAATAAAAACACAGGTCACAGAGCTCCAAGGAAGCCAAGAGAGGAACATGGGGTACTTGAAGCCTTCAGAGGATGTGTGGATCTAACACCTCGACTTTGGACTTGTGGTTTGCAGACTATGAGAGAATTTATTTATATTATTCAGCTTATGGTAAAGCAGCCCAGGACACTTATACATGCTATCTAACTAGTCTTTGCCCCGCTTAGTACTCTGTGTAGACTTGTGTGCCCCCCCCCCCCGCCCCGTCAACTCCCCTGGCTGGGGACAGAAGCCAGGCTCTTGAGCACACTACCACTGAAGTATACCCTCAGTCCTTGGTGTCTTGCTCTCTCATTATATAGTCCCAGTGGCTTTAAGCTTGTGATCTCCCCATCTCAGTCTCCCAAATGCTAGGATTACAGGTGTGTGCTTTCACTATTTTGATTGGGTACTTTTAGGTGTGAACTTAAAACTGATCATTGCATGACTCAGCAGCATGGGAAATGGGCACTGTACCTGTTGGAGATCTTAGTAAGATTTCAAATCTGGGGCGGGGAGTAAAGGGTAGGGATGGGCTGATGTCCCCCTGAGAAGGCTGGAAAGATGGCACTTGCTGCCGAGAAGGCTATTGTTCAGATGTAGTTATGCATAACAATATTCATTCTTCTCCATTACTAAGTACCATCCCATTACATATACGGGCCACTGGGTTGTTTCCACATTTTGGCTATTCTAAATGAAACTGCTATGAGCATTTTTAAAAAACGAGGATACATTTGCTTTCCCTAGGTGGGCCATGAATTCTGTACCATTATCCCATCAGAGGACTCAGATCTCATATCTCTTAGGTGATACCTGAAAACTTATCTATCACATATTCTAAAATGTCCCTCGTAGGTTTTCTTGGATAGAGAATTTACTAAAATAAGTAGAATTACAGACTGATATATAGTGTAAGCATGTAAAGTAAGGAGATATTGCAGATTCTGTTTATACTGAATATAAATCAAGACTTCCTGGACCAAGCAGACTACCTGGGCTTGGGATGTATATTTTGTAATATTCCCAGGCTGTGAATCAGTTCCAGGAAGTTATACTGCCTTTCTGAATGTCAGGCTTTCATGTATGAAATAAGGATAAGGATGTCTACCTGTTAAGTAACTGACATGATCAAGCAAGCATTTTTCACTGCAAAAGAAAACTAGGCCAAGAGAAAGATGACCATACTCAAACAAAAGCATTATAAGGAAATATAAAGTGTTTTTTTTTTTGCCTACCCCTTCCCTACTTTATTTTTGTTTGTGTTTTTTTGGACAGGACCCCACATAGCCCAGGCTAACCTCAAGCTTACTATGTAGCTGAGGATGGCCTGGAGCTTCTGAGTCTTCTGTCCCGATGGGACTGCAGGTATGTACACCATAGCTGATTTGTGCAGTGCTGGGATCAAGACTAAGGCTCTGTGTGTGCTAGGCAAGCACCCTACTAACTAAGCTACACCCCAGCCTGCTCCTTGCTTCTTTAAGAACAATAAATGGCAAGGCTCTAGAGTGGAACATCAAACTGCAGCTGGAGAACTCGGGGTACAGCTCCACAGAGCACCCACTTAGCATGTGCCACGTTAGGGGCCAAGGCCATTGTGTTCAGTTCTGCTTCTTATCCAACCCAGGCAGCTTCCTGTCCTAGTGCTAAGCTGGTATTGCAACATACCACGTGCAAATGGCCCTGGGGAGCTGGTGATAGAAGCAGATGTGCCTCAAACATTTTTCTCTGTGAAGAAGGAACAAGCCAGATACTATTTTAGGAAGAAAAGAATATGCTATTTCTTTTCCTATAAGTAAGCTCAGCAAATTTGACCTTCTGCCCCCCCACATCTACACAAGGGTTTTCATTATTCAGAGTCAGAACACAGGCATTTTGTGTCTCACTAACCTAGGCCATGCTGGGCTGCTCCAAGGGCCAGTGCTCAGGAATGGCAGGGTGCATTACAGGCTGTGATGCTAGGCATTTCCAGCCAGCTCTCTATTCATATTCATATTCATATTCATATTCACTCTCTCTCCAGCTCTCTATTCATATTTATTCTCATTCCATCTCCCCCCTCCCCACACCTTTTTTTTCTATGACTGGAATATAGCTGTATCTTCTTCAGTCACTGGTCCCTCAGCAGTGACCGGCAAATTTAAAATGTTCATAGACATTAAATCCCATGAAATTTGCAAAGTCTACAGGAGCTACCAGCTTTGGTTAGAAAATAATTTAGGTTAGCCATATGCGGTGGCATATGCCTTTAATTCCAGCACTAGGTAGGCAGAGGCAGTGAATCTCTGAGTTCGAGGCCAGCCTGGTCTAAAGCGCAAGTTCCAGGACAGTCAGAGTCACACAGAGAAACCCTTTTCAAAAACAAAACAAACAACAACAACGACAAAACAAATTTAGACTTTTATATACCATGAAATTAAATTCATTTATAACAGCTAGAAAAGAGAAATACTATGTGCCAAAGGGTCACTGAACAGGCAAAACCAGACAGACTTTCTGCAACTGACCACACATTAGGCCCAGGGTAGTGGGCCTTTCAGGAGAACTGCAGGTAAGTAGTTCACAAACTAGTTAGAGCAACTGCCTTGCAGGAGTGGAACAAAGTGGCTTTGAGCTCTGAGAGGAAGTAGTTTATACCAGGAAGAAAGGGTAGAAAGTGGTGACTCACATAGCACCCTTTGGGTTCAAGTTAGCTTAGTGTCACCAGGAGGAAAGTGTATGTATACCCTGCTATAAGAAAGGGAATCAGAGGTTGTGGTACTGTGTGTATGGGGCACAGGCAGCCAGGGGCAGGTCTCTTCAGACACAGGCGCATGCACCTTTAGCTGCAGCATGCAGACAGCTGCTGAGGAGAAGTGAGGCAGTACGAGGCACCATCCTGAGTGCCCCATGGGTAAGTACCCATTTCTTCATCAGTACCGTTCTTCACTCTATAATAAGGGTGCCCCGAGCCTTCCTTCATCAGCACCGTTCTTCACTCTACAATAAGGGTGCTCTGAGCCTCCCTCCTCCACCAGATGGGCCCTTTAGCTCTGGCCCAGGCATGCCTTATCTGTGTCTAATAAATGAAGCATAGAAGGCTGCGCACCCAGGACAGACGGAAAGTCAGGATGCAGGAGACTACTTTCCCCCTTCTTTTTTTGACACCAGAAGATCAAGGGAAGAGGAGTTGACTCCAGTGGGTGTAGATCAGCCCGTGTAGCCCTGGCTAGGCTCAAACCCAAAGAGATTCACCTGCCTCTATCTCCTGAATGTTGGGATTAATGGTGCAGCAAGATTATGGTGACTATTTTTTTTTGACAAGGTCTTACTATGTAGCCTTGGCCGGCCTGCAATGCCTATGAAGACCAGGCTGGCCTTTAAACTCACAAAGATCCACCTGCCTCTGCTGCCTAAGTGCTGGGATTAAAGGTGTGTGCCAATCACATTTCCTCCCCCTGAACCTTCTGGGACGGAACTGCCTACTACACAGAGATAGCAGTACAATCCAATACCAGCTCTAGTACCCACCCTGTCATCTAATGCTTACTTTGGCCAGTCTTGCTCGTTTGATGAGGTCGTTGAGTTTGCGCACTGCAGCCTTCTGGGGCAGGCTCTGGATGTCTCTGAAGAGGTCCTGTGCCTCAGCCTCGAAGAGCCGGCGGTTGTCTGTGTTCTGCAGAGGCTGTGCCCAAAATGAACCAATGTAGACTCGAAGTACCTCGGGTGTGTTGATAACCTTGCCCAGAGACCACATGAGGGCCCCATAGACTCGCATCAGCTGCTGTGTGTCCACTTGGTCAGCCTTGTTCAATACCACTCGGATTTTGTCATCCTGGCCTCGGAATGCCTTGATCGCCTCTGAGAACTCATCTGAGATGTCCAATTTGTGAGCATCAAAGAGTAGGATGATCCTGTCAACCCTCTCAGCAAACCACTGTAGGACCTGGCAGAAGTCATACCCTGGGTGGAGAGAAGGGTGTTAGTGTGCTGAACACTTTGGGGGACTTGGCTGTGGGAGAGCTCCAGTAAAGAAGAGCACTGAATCTGAGGCAGCAGAGCCTATGACCTGAAAACCATTTCACATGAGGTCCCTTAGGCTAGATGCATGTAGTTAACACTGGGGATCTGGCACCCTTCCACAGAAAGGATCAGAAGGGGTCTCTGGTCAGTTTGATGAAGCACTACATGTTGGCAGATTTACTTGGTACTCATGGTTTTGACTTCGCCCAGCATAGGTCTTTGGATTGGTGGCAGAACTGACCTCCAGTCCTGACACTGAAGGCCATGGGCTAAAAGTTTGCTCTTTGGACTAGTCTTACTTTTCAGAAAACATCTGAGATGAAGAAGGAAGAGAGCCCAGAGGCCACCTGCAGGTTCCAGGGTGTCCAGCAAGCATGGGAATGTAGAAATTGGTTTTAGCCCAAGTTTATAGAGTTGTCTGGGAAAAGTTGTGATTGATATTTATCATGATGATTATTTATAGCCTAAGTGTGTTTAAAAAGTATTTTAAAAATCTGTCACACAGAATATGGTCATTTGCCAATTTCTTTTTTAAAATGAACAGGGCCACAACAAATTCCACTGAGTGTGTTTGGCCACCTACCAATCTGTTCCAAATCAAGCAGTTAAGTAAACACTCTTCCTGAGGTCAAGACTTTTAGCCATCTCCCCCAAGGAAGCAAGTTCCCAGGGGAGGCACACAAGGAGGCCAGTGCCCAAAGGTTATTTTACTCCCAGGCTGCTCAGCTGCAGGGCCACAGTCTCCATCTAGCCCACTGCAGCTGAGCAGTCATCTCTCCAGCTGCCTTCCTATTTCCAATAATTTCAAACTCATGTCAAATCTAGAGAAGAATGCAATGAGAGCTGAGGTAGCACCATATAATTTTAACATTTTACCTTGCTTACTGCAAATACTTTTAAAAAAATCAAGCTTGGTTTATTCAGATAACAAAACACCAGAAGAATAAAACCTGTCAGCACAGGTGTGTCTCTACAAACAAACACGCAACAACAACACAACAAAACACCCTTGGGGGTGGCTGCTGGAGAGATGGTTCAGTGATAAAGAGCACTGGCTGCTCTTCCAGAGGATCTGAGCTTGGTTCCTCGCATACACATGGCACATAATAATAACTGCCTGTAACTCCAGTTCTAGGAGATCTGACATCATCTTCTGGCTTCCATGGGCACTGCATATACAATGTTGCACAGACTTACATATAAGCAACCATTCATACATATAAAGCAAAAATAAATAAATCTTAAAAAGAAAAACCCTACTCTTCATAAACAAGTTAGCGTTGGGTAGAAATTGGTTTCAAAGACATGAGTAATGTCGGACGTGGTGACTTATATGCAAGATCCCATCACGTGAGAAGTGGAGGCAGGAAGATTGCTGCAAATATGAGGTCAGCTTGGGTTACAGAGTTACTCTCCTCTCAAAAAAAATTAAAAAAGATGAATATAGAATGATGACATTCACATATGTTAAATACCAGGCAGTGCTCAGCGTCCCATGGATATATACTGTAGCAAAAGCCCAAACTGTTAGTATCAACCTAGGATTCTGGCTGGGGATGGAATATGGGCCCTAGGGCAGATGAGGAAGTACCCAGGGAAGAACGATCTTCTAGGAAAAATGAAGAGGCTTGTGGATTAAATTTTTTACCCCTTTGAAAAATGGGAGTAAGGGGAGCAAATATACAAGCAAACCAGAGTTAGTAATACATTTATTTTGTTTGTTTGTTTGATTTTGAAATAGGTATTGCTATATAAGTGCCAAAGGAAGCTTGTCATCCTTGCAGATAAATTGAAAGAACAGCATTGCTAATGTTGGCATAGCCATACAGACATGGTGGCTCTTCCTCTAAGGCCACCTCAGTTGACTACTTGGCTATGAAGCAACATGTATTAAACTATAGCCTAAATTAAAATTTATAATTGGTAAACAATAAGATTCTGGGCTGGGGATGTAGTTTACTGATAGAGCACATATGAGGACTTGGGTTGGATCCTTAGGTGCAAACACACATACATACACAGGGAGATAAGGAGATGGATGGATGGATGGGTAGATGGGTGGGTGAGTAGACAGACAGACAGACAGAGATAGATATCAAGTACAGAAGCAGTGTGTGGCTTCCAGTGCTATGGTGAAATCCTGCTATTGGGAACAGAGCTGCTATGCAAGTTCACTCTAAGTGAAGCCATTGCACATCTCTGGAGGAACGGCGCCTGTCTGTGTTTCCTCTTATTAAAGTAACAATGGGAATCAAGAAGTGCAGGTGGATAGAGTGTAGTTTTGTGTCACGAAGAAGGTAAAAAGGACTGCTTGTCACATGCCAGGCAACACATCTCAGAAGTGGGAGAGGTTGGTTTGCTCAGTTTTACCTTTTCAGTCATTTTGTAAGACTCTAGTTCACTGGCGTTTAATATGCTCTTACTGTTGTGCAATCACTATCACCCATTTCCTAAACTTTTTCACCTTCTCAATCAAAACTCTAACTCATTAAATAATAATTCTCTACTTCCTCAGTAAGGAATTGGGAGCTTGAATGAGTGAGGTCCTGAGAGAATGTGTGCTATTGACATGAGCTGGCCATGTCAAAGACCCCAGAGCCTTAGACCCACAGAGGCATGGCAAAGCCTGTCCCCTGGGGTGAGGTCTAGAGGCATGGCAAAGCTTCCCATGTATGAGAGGGAAGAAATGCAAGTGTTGACAGTATGTTTAGAGTATGCCCACCATAGCTCCCCATACCCAATGTTTACGGCCTGAAACCTGCTCCCTGTAGAGCCTGCTCCTGCAGAGATTAGCTAAACCCAGACCCTTGATCCAGCTGTGTACCATAAGCCCTGCCTCCTTGTTTGTCTGTATCTAATAACCTAACCTTCTTGTTCAGCTGTATACAATAACTCTGTCTTTCTGTTAAACTGGATATAATAAACACACTGAGTTTCCAGGGTGCTGTGGTTTCTCCAGTCAAGAGTTCAGACCACCTGATCCCAGTTTTCTGTGTATCTGGCTGTGCTTGTCTTTTCTTCATTTGCTCACTACCTCAGTCAGGACCATTCCTGGAGCTGTGCTGGATGTGGCATCCTCCATCTCCCCAATTTCTTGGAATGGCATTCTGCTTTCTAGGTTTATAAATCTGACTACTGTCAGTGCCACGTATGAATAAATCATACAGTATTTGTCCTTTGTAACATGGCACAATAAAAAATAATTTAGATTATAGCAAGTGTGTGTGGGGTGGGGTATATGCACATGTATGTACCTGTGAACTTGTGTGGAGGAAAGATGGCAATATAAAGTGTCCTGCCTGCTTTGTCACTTCTTGCTTTATTCCCTTGGGACAAGATCTCTCACTTAACCTTATTTTATTTCTCAAGACAGAGTCTTGGCTGGCCTGGAACTCACTGTGTTGACCAGGCTGTGCTGGAACTCAGATATCTGCCTGTCTCTGCCTCCAGAGTGCCAGAATTATGGCCATGTGTCAACATGCATGACCCTAAAGACTTTTATGTTTGTTTGTGTGCACTTATCTGTCTGTGTGTGTGAATGCTGTATGTGTGCAGGTATCTATGGAGGCCAGGGGAGGGTGTCAGATCCCTTGGAGTTGGAGTTCAGGTTGTTCTGAGCTGCCCAAGCTAGAGGCTGGGAACATAGAACTCAGGGTCTCTGGAAGGGCTGAGCCATCTCTTTAGCACCCTTCTTTGGCTTATAAATTCTTTAATCACAGGGACCATCTTCTTCACAGTTGCACACATTGTTGTGGGCAATGTGGGTTTAGACACAGAAGTGCCCTTGCTTACATCATAGTAGTTTTGTGCAAATTTCTGTTACCTTGTTTGTAAAATGGAGCTCATAACAGTATCCACACTTTTTAGGGCTGCAGTCTTAACATAGGCATTTAGAACCATCTTAGCACTTAGAAAACTGTCCAGAATATTATTTACTACTTATAGTAAAAAACCAAAATTTTATATCTAGTGATTGAGGCACAGGGAGGTGACAGAAAATGGCTGTCAGAAGATATCTGGCTAGGGTGAAATATAATCTAGATCTAAAGAAAGAGGATGTTCCTGAGGGACTTTATAAAACTCAGGTTGCTGCCTTTGTCCAGCCCCAAACTGAAACAATCCAGCTGTCTCTTAAAAGGCTTGTAAAAAGGGATGCCCCTGACACATGAACTGGAGTAAAGGAAACCAGTTACTAAAGAGCACACGCTAAGCAATTATTTATCTAAATGAAATTCTGGGACAGGCAAGATTAGGCATCAGTGCTGCCTTGAAGCAGGGGTGAGACTGGGACTAAATGACTGGAACAAAGAGGAATCTTCTAGGGGTGATAGAGTTCTATCCCTTGATGAAGGTAGTGGCTACATGTGTGCACAGATTTGGTATAACTTTCCAAACTGCACAGTTACAAGATATACATTATATGTGATATGAGCATACACATATGCATACATGTTTGAAGGCTGCAGAAATTGCATAGCAACATCCCTCTTTGGTACTTAAGATTTTTTAAACATTCATTTAATTGTTTTTAGACTTATTTTATGTATACGAGTGTTCTGCCTGCATGTACATATGTGCACCCTGTATACTCCTGGTGCCCATGTAGATGAGAAGGCGGCACTGGATTTTCTGGAACTGGAGTTACGAATAGTTGTGAGGCATTATATGGATACTAGGAACTAAGTGTGGGTCCTCTGCAAGAGTCACAACTGTGCTCTTCACAACTGAGCCACCTCTTCAGCCCTACTCATTTAATTATAAACATTTCAACTCTTTAAGACCCTCCAGTGGGCTAGGCGTTGGTGGCTCACGCCTTTAATCCCAACATTCAGGAGGCAGAGGCAGGTGGATCTCTGTGAGTTCAAGGCCAGCCTGGTCTACAGAATGAATTCCAGGACAGACTCCAAAGCAATACAGAGAAACCCTGTCTCGAAAAAACA